GTTGTCCGAGCATTAGCTGCCTCCTCTTCTTCTAGGCGCACAAAGCCATCGGCTCTCTCATTGAGTTCATCCATGGTAGCCGGTGTGTTCACTACCAGACTGGTGTGAAAGGGAGTTCCGCGTGTCATGGCTAACTTGAAGGCTTGAACTGCCGTAGAAGGGTGGCATTCGATCACCATACTCTTAGTGAGATTAAACCTGGTAAGAAAGGCCTGGAGACGTTCATCCTTGTGCTGCCGCATCGTGAATAGGCTCGAGATGTCCTTCGGCGGGCGTTTGTTCCCATAATACTGGCTTATGAACCGATCGCACAGGTCTCTGAAACTGCCAATGGAGCTCCTAGGCAAGTTTTTAAACCAGCTGAGCGCCGGTCCGGCCAGGCTTGTAGGGAAACATTTGCACATTAAAGAGTCGTTTTCCGTATTCAGGGCCATTTTCAACTGGATATGATACACATGATCGATCGGATCGGTCGTTCCGTCAAACAGAATAAAGACTGGCATAGCAAACTTCCTTGGATGCGGCGCATTCAAGATCACGTCGGTGAATGGTGAATCCACCGTCCGAGCTGCGGATCGGAGAGCTTCATTCTCTCTCTGGAGTCCAGCGGTAGCTCTGTGAGTTACGGTTCTGCCCTCCGAACCGTGATGAGTGACAGTAACCATGGAGGGCCGGTAAGACGGATCGAACGACCGTTCCTCTATGAACTCTCTTTGCCAAGGCGACGCTACCCGACGGCGATCAACCTCCATCACTTCCTCTCGGTCAAACCTTTCCCGCTGCGGATCAACGTGAGTCGATCCTTCGTGATCTTCAACTCGACAAACATTTGGCGGCAAATTGTCCATCATCCTTTCATCACGGTGGTGAGCTGACTGATTGTTCTCGTCCTGATCGCCTTGATGCGCGATATTAGATGGAACACCTCCTTCTCCGACCGGAAGTGGATGCGAAACCGCAGGTATCTGCCGATGCTGCAGTCCAGCTTTCAATTCTGCATTTTCTTTTCTGAGAGCTTCAATCAAGTTCATCAACTCTTCAAGCTTTGTTTGCTGGACAGCCTCCATCGGATTGGAGCTTTCACCTATCAATATTCCCGAACGGAGTAAAGGCATTAATCTCAAGTTCGCGAGTAGATCTGAGCTTCGTGAGTAGGAATTTTTAGATCTGGCTTCTAATTCTCCGAATTATGCTCACTGTTTACGAGATCTGAATTGTCTGAACTCTTAATCCGTCAGATCCTGCCACAATCGAACAACTCGTGGTTGCGTAGATCCGAAGCCACTCCTGCCAAAGCTTCAAGAATTGTAATTCCTCCAGAGTAGGTCACAATCGCTCAGATCTGGATTCAAATCCCCAAGATCGAGTCTCGATCAACCGAATTGGTTTGAATCCATTCGATACTCCTCATTGATCAACCAAACTTTCATGCGATTCCCACAGACAGCGCCAATTGAAGATACAAGAAACTCCTACTATTCTTTCTCTCTCTAGAATTCTTACACCTCAACCCGAAAAGATCCCTCTCCTCTTCATTCCAACTCCTATTTATAGATCCTTACAAGATATTTACAAGATATTTGCAAGATATTTTCTGATTGCTGGACCTGGGCCTATTCCTCTGTAAGCCCTAGTCACCCTTGATGGGCTTACTCCCGCTCGGCCCATATGGCAGTGTCTTTCTATGGGCTGACCCAGCTGTTCGGACTGAAGGTTGTGTTTTGCGAGTCGGACCTGGCCCATGTCATCCGGGGCCTCCTCAACTATTTTATGCTGTTTTTCAGCTTATCTATCACATTTTCCTGCCTGTGAAATTTTTTTGATCTTTTTAAGTTAATGGTTACAGAACCGTAAATGAATTTTACATAATCTGATTGTCATTGTCAAGGTTAAAATCTTACTTGAAATATCTAATTTTTAGTAATAGTATATTATTTATAATCATGAGATATGAATAGGGTTAGAAGTTGGATTTTTTGTCGTCCATCAATTGAAACAGAATTGAAGTATCTGTGTGTGTCTATTTGATCCATTGCATCATTTTTTTCCTTTTGGATAATTATAATTTGTGATTTTAGGAATGTTGTCAAGAGTTATCTTAATATAAAAATGATAGGCATGTTAAATCATAAATCACAATACATAAAGTGCCTACCTAAAAATAAAGGCCCATAAGCTCTTACACAAATTTACCTTGATGACAGTTCTTTTTTTATAAAAAAAAATAATAATAATAAAAATAAAAATAAAATAAAATAAAATAAAAAATAAAAAAACAAGCTTAATGGCTATCAATAAAGTCCCCAACAGCCAACCCAACATAATAATAAAAATTGGGACTCAAATGCATGAAAATGTAAGCAATGATAGTACTAATTTAGGAAGAAAGCAATGGCAGCAACGGGGAGGTACACATAATAGTTGGGTATAATATGAAATTAAAATCATATTTGGGGTTTTGCAAAAATCAGGTAACAATGAGGTTGACATATCATATCATCAACACCTACACAAATAAATAGTCACCGCAATAGTGGGCTGATTCCAGACGCCTTTGCACTAGTTTATTCCTCCAATATATACCACTACATGCTACATGTGCTCGTTCTTTGATAAAATCTTTGAATTTTTTATTTTGAAAGTTTAAAAAATATCACTATATCATAGTAATAAAATTTCAACTTCTACAAAAAAAAAAAAAAAAATCATATTTGTCCAAGTTAGACTAGGTCTAATTATGTGACACATTCACACTCAAATTGTAAAGATATAACATTTCACGTGTGCTTGGCTGGTACTGTGCAAAAAGACAAACTTGAGGCCCAACTAGTCTTTTGAAACCCCCAACCCAATGACGAATATATTCCACCCATCTTGACCAATTTAATGAAAACTCCCATCAAAATCAAACACAAGTATGTAGAAGTAGACAAGAAAAAATAAAATAAAATAAACGAAAAAAAATCCAAAAGAAAGCTTTTGAAGTCCTCATTCAAGCCGTTGAGAGCGGTGGTATATCTGTTCTAATTTTATTGTTCTTTAAAATTATTACTGTTAAGCATTCTGCTAAAAAAATTTATTTTTATTTCACTGTGATCTTTGATCACGTAGATTGAGTTTTCCACCTTGAATTAAGCCAAATCGTTCAATTATCACTAGAAATCCATTTGCATCTTTCGACTGGTTTGATGGTCACACTTGTAACTTCACCCACCCACACACACACTGTGTGTGTATAATATGAAAATGATGCCAAGACAAAAGGAGAAGCAATCGAATGGTAGACAATGTTTTGACGGGCGTTGGATCATGTTCGATTTGGGTTGGTTGGCATGGGGTTGGTTTGCAGTAGAATAATTCTGGTTGTGGTAACAATTCAATGTACTTGAAACAACTGTAGATATAGTGTTTGTCCTTGTCCTTTAAATCAAGGAGGTTGGTTAGCAAGTACATGTGGCCAAAGGGCATTGGCGGTGGAGGTAATTGTGGTTGTCCAGTTATGCCATTCCATAGAGAGAATTCAACGACTGTTTTGTGAAGAGAGAGAAGATTGCAGAACCAACACAATGGAGTTCAACTAATCCATAGTTTTCTTTTCACATCATGTATACCTGTCAAATAAGATTTTAGACAAATACTTCAGAAGATATATATATATATATATATATATATATATATATATATATATCTTCTGAAGTATTTGTCTAAAATCTTATTTGACAGGTATACATGATGTGAAAAGAAAACTATGGATTATATCCCTGGAAGCAATTGTCGTGAAAAAAAAATGGCATAGCCTAACAATACTTTCTCACCTTTTAAATAAGAGGGTGAGCCGATACGATAAAAATAAAATAAGAAGCAATTTTAATGAGCCACAGAAGCTTTTCAAAATATAAACTTAAGATCTGCAGTCACATCTATTCAAAAATCACGTTAAAGATGAAAAGCATGCAAATTATTGACATAATATCATTGCCCCTAATTGCTACCAACTTAACAGAAAACAACCCACATTGACATGAATGTCTTAATCTGAATAATTTTATTTTGACAACAATCCCAAATACTCTGTTACGGTTCAAGCCAATCAGCTCATCATTTCACGCTCAAATTTATTTGTATACCATGATCTGAAAAATGAATTCACTGATACGAAAGTTATGCCCTCTTTGGCGGTGCCAATGCATTGTCAAGCAAAAAACTTTTGCAACCAATACGTGTGCCTGTGTGCTAGCCAGCAAATATTTTACACTAATGAAATAACAATATACCTTGCAAACACAACTCTTCTAGGAAGAAAAGAAATATCCATATTGCATACATGTATGTATGTATCTATATTATAAGGTCGATAAAAAATCAGGAAAACTACCTGATTTTTTGAAATATCAAATATCTACCTCTCCATCCCTCCAGTTGTAAAAGACCCATCCTTCATTTCATACTACCTGCCATCAATATCAATTATAAGGATTAAATCAGACCATACACATAAGTTTGTATACGTATGTATCAAAGGTTAAGGTTTTTTTTTTTCTAATATTTGAACAAGAGAAACATAATGAGCTGTAAATATTAATGCATTACTGAAGTAACACTTGCAGGACATGATATGCCCATGACCACATCAAGTACAAAAAAACAAGTACCTTTGTGATGAGGGGACAAAAGTTAATGACGACCGGTCCAAAATAAAATTCTTCCACGAAAGGGTGAGCAGTACTTAGGTGGACCATAACTAAAGGTATCAAGGTACCAAACTTATGGCGCAGTATACCTGTTGCATTTCAAACCCTTCTCTTGAATTGCAAAGATATTAGGCTTTACTTGTTGCAGGTACAAAGAACCTGAGCCAAATTGTAGTATACCTAGAAATATCTGTAATATTAGAATCTGTAGAATACTAAAATGCAGAGCCATTAGCCGAGGATAAAATGAAAGGGAAAATCTTACCAGTAAAATTCAAGGCAGACAAAAAGACGTAAAATGGAATTGCATTTAGCAAACAAGTAAAGACAGCCATTAGTCATTTGCATTAATTATTGGACATTATAAAAACAAAGAAAATCATATAAATAAACTTCCCACGTAACTATTCACAGTGACTGCAACATGTAAACCGTAGGTTGAAAGAAAGGGAAGAGAATTTACAAAATGGAGGTTGAGAATGACTCGCAAGATGATGGAGATGAATTAACAATCATAAAACTAGAAAATGTAGAATTTACAGAATTTGTGCTTGGAGATGCTGCACAAGAACTTTCATCATGCAGTATGGTGGGTAAGATTGGCAGCCCTGTTCAGTCTATCAAGAATTCCGTTCGCCTTCCTCTTGGCCCTTGAAGTTCCATATTCGGCAATCTGAGAGATTGTTCCATAAGCGTTCTCTGCTTCCCTCATCTCCTTCCACTTGGTTCGGTCATTAAAGCAGACAGTATGAAGGATTGCAATGCAATTCTCCTTGTTGCGAGCACAAGAGCTCTCCCTCATTATACTAAGCAAGCAAGGAATAGCACCAAACTCTCCCAAATCCTCAACAACCTTTTGATTGCTTGAAAGCATAGCAAGAATGGCCAATAGCTCATCAACGTAGATACGATTCACGATCTTGTTCACGATCACCCTCACAGCACCATCCCTCACCGCTCTCAATTTGTTCTCGTGCAAAATACACAAGTTAAATATTGCCGAAGCAACATCTTTCATAGCTTGAGGGTGCCCTTCTTCTAAGAGGTCAATTAGTGGTTTTAAAGCCCCAGATTTTCCAATAAGTGCCTTATTTGAATCAAGAGCCGACAATGTGAAGAGAGCAGCAGCTGCATTGCTCCTTGTTCCAACCGTTCCAGATTGTAGCGCTTTCATAAGAAGAGGAATAACCATAGGGGTTTCAGCAACGAGCTTCTTGTTGCTTTCATGGATTGAAAGATTTAGAAGTGTCGTGATTAAATCTTCTTGGAGATCAGGGTGTATGTCGTGTTGAGATTTGCTTTCAGAGAGAGGGTTAAGCAATTGAGGTATGGCATCTAGAGACTCGCCAAAAAGTGCACGGAATGAGGGCATCCTTTTTGTCAATAACCGTAATTCCCTTGCAGCCCCTTTCTGATCAGGAAGTGTCAATGACATCTTCTCAAGCAAACAAATGAAATGTTTTCTATCCGCTTCGGTTAATCCATCCTCAGTGGAATTTTCAACAAGTTCCGCCAATTGGATACCGTGACTTTTGCACCATTTAGATATCATTTCTCGAATCAGGTGATTAGGTGTAAGGTTAGTATGTGAGAGGACTTGTTGGGTTCGAGGACATGTCCGGTTCCCAGCTATCAACCATTTCTGGATAAATGATCTATCATAAGTCTGCGCAAGAAAAACAAAGGCTTAAGGGAGTGTAAAAAAAGGATATGAACAACAATAAAGGTATTCAAGAACCAATGCATATGGTAAAACAGAGGAAAAAAAAAATTGCACTGCTATCGTAACCTAGAACAAGTTTATTGATCAGTGGCAAATGGCTGAACCAAATAACTCAGGTGCCAACAATTCAATGCAATCCTTGTCATAAAGGTCTGTTAACTAATATTTGTAGAAGAAAAAAAAAAAGCTGAAAAATATATATATATTGTCCTCTCTATTATCAAAAATGAGAAGTTATATATTAAATAAATTCAAGAGCCAGTATGAAAAAATTGAACAAACGAGAGTGGATTAGCAAAGGACAAGGTGCATATGTGTGTCCAGCATTTTCAATTATAGAGTGTCACTCTCACTCACTAGAACTAAACCCAAAAAAAAAAAATTCAACGAGAGTTTAAATAGGTAATCCTTGAAAAACCTAATCAATTTCATTATAAAAAATAAAAAAATAAAAATAAAACAATATATCCATATTGTTCAATAATAATCTCTCTCCCTCTCTCTCTCTCTCTCTCTCTCTCTATACATAGATGATAACCAAAAATAAAAAATAAAAAATAGACATAATTCTTCTTAGACATATATTACTAACATTCAAAAACCCTCAATAAAACAACCACACAAATTAAATTTCATGGATAACAATTAAATTTTCAAACCAATATTGTATCATTCACCCAAAAAAAAAAAATTTACCTCATAAAAAATGCAGAAAAATCCCTCAAACAGAATTAAATTCAACAAAAAGTTAAGACATATAATGAAGAATCCAAATGAGATATTATTAACCTGACCGGTGGCCACAATTACAGGATCTCTCATGAGCTCTTTGGAAAGAGGGCATCGAAGTTCTTCAGGACAAGCCAACGCGTCGTGTAGTTTTAAAGACACGGGTCTGTTCAACTTCAAGTCCTTCAACGCGCATAGGGTTTGATTGGCTCGATCGATTGTTTCAACATTCAAATCGTCTTCTTCAACAATTGCCTTAACCAGTATCTGCAACTCCTTCTTCAACTCTGTTGCCTTGGCGACCATCGTCGGATCGCTATCGAATGCCCCAGTTTTGGCCATCAATTGGTGGATCTTTTGGGGTTGAGTCAGAAGAAGAACAATCGAATTGTGACGGTGCTGTCGTGAATGGCGGCGACACGGAGAGTGTGATTCCTCTGTCTCATCTCCTGCTTTTCGGCTAATTTCCACAATTCTTTTTTCTCTCTCTAGAATACACACACTTTCTCTCACTGCAGAGGCGTGAGAATTATGAATGGTGAGTGTGTATGTGTAATTTGCGTAGGGCCTACGTGGTCCCCAATGTACGCAATCACGGAGTCTGTGACCGGACAGCTGGCACCTACGCGGACGAAACGTGCTAGGTACTCGTTTTGCATATAAACTTTTAAATTTGTTATTTTAATGGAAAATATTACTATTATTAGAACTAAAACATAGATAAGTCTCTAACCCATAAATGGGTCTAAAATATTAGTATTCGAAAATTTTGAGGGACGCGCCTTTTTTAAAATCATCAAGTTGCATGTTTTTTTGAAATTTTAAAGAGTAATTATTTTAAGATATCCTGAAAATGGTAAAAATTACTACTATTGCAATATAGAGCAACCTAATTATCAAATGGAAGGGAGTTTTATTTATTTTTAAGCAGTGAATGAACTCAAATGAGTCTGAAAAATTGGTTTAAGGATAATTGTTTTTGCGATAAAAGTCATTTCCTGCTAATTCTGTAAGTTTGAATATTTGAGAGTGGCGTGCGTGCATATGTTAGTAAAAATCTCTTCCTTCTTTTGAACCTATATTTCAGGACATACTTTATTTTCCATCTTGAGCAAACCAAATTGTTGTATTTTGTACAAATAATTTCAGTCCAATATAATTAAACAGTACTATTTGAATTATCGTTCATATTCTCAATTTTTTTGGGGATAAAAGGGAGTTGTAATTATTATAAGAAAATGATATCATAATAATAATAATAATATTATTATTTACTTCCCTTATTATTTGGTGAAATATTATATTTAATTTTTTGTTTATTAATTATTCAAATATTATAAGAAAATGCTATCATAATAATAATAAAATATTATTTACTTCCCTTATTATTAGGTGAAATATTATATTTAATTTTTTGTTTATTAATTATTCAAACATTAGTTACTTAAATTTTCATTTGTGGGCATATATATATATACACATATACTATAATATACACGCCCATTATATGTTACTACTTTGGCGGGAACGTGGCAAACCAGGAGCGGCTGTCGGTATTGTCTGTCGCACTGTTGCTAAGTTTTTCGTTGCGGTTCTGTGCTAATTAATGAAGGTAGAGGATCTATCACTCTCCCGCCGTTGATTGATATATGAGGTGGATGTGGGTCCTGTTTCTACATATCATCTTTCATTGCCAACTAGGATAATTGTCTATACGTGTACACTGTGGGTCCCCAATACCATAACGCGTTATTCTCTCAGCTCCCAAACAGCTCCACATGTCTAATTCATTCTTTGTCATTTTGGGTGACGCGCGCACACACCCACACTGCTAGATGAGATAGAGAGAGAGGCACTCATGATGATTTTTCACAAGTGCCATGAAAATTTTCCATCACCACGAGTTTTTTAATACATGACCAAAACATGTACCAATTTCCTAATTTAGAATTTCCTATAAAACTTTAATTACAGATTTGTTTGTTGCCCACTTTTATCCGTGCATTGCGTGAATCTCAACCACAAAATCTACATCAGTAGTGAGGAAAAAGAAAAAAAAAAGAATAGCTTGTGCAAATCCTAGTTAGTTAATTCGCGTATGATACGCAAATTAAATGCGTATGTATGAATTTTTGATTCGAATTAAAAAATATGGTAAAAAATACGGTAAAATATGAATTTTTTTAATTACCCCGTATCTAACGCGTTTATTCGTTTTGGTTGCTCCGTGTAATTCGTAACCTAATTATTATTTTTTTGTTTACGAAATTCACGTTTTTAATAGCGTATTTTTTTTTAAAATACACAATATTATCTTTTCTACCCTCTTTTACTTGGTATAGCTATTATTTTTTAAGCTATCAAAATAATGTTATTTGTTGGGCAAACTATTGTGTTTTCTACCCTCTTTTGCTTGGTATAGTCATTATCTTTCAAGCCATCAAAATAATGTTATTTATTGTACAATCACTTATTGTTGCCACTCCAATTATGAACTTTAATCAAAACAATGAAAGATATATATATATATATTTGTAGAACACTATAATTTTGAAGAATCATAAGTTTTTATTGGTATTTATAGATATTTATAGATTTTTTGTTTTGTTGTGAGATCTTTTAAATTTTGTTAATATTTTTATTATTATAATTATTTTAGAATTTTGTAGATCACCATACTCCCTACATGTTTTAGTAGAATGTTACATTATATACTTATAAATTTTTTTTTTTTTATGATTATTGTGATAGTGTTAATTGTAATATATTTATTTCATTATTTATTACATATTATTTATTGTCCTTACAAATATATATATATATATATATATATATATATATATATATATAAGAAAATAATAAGATATGTATAGCCGAATTTTTAGAATATATAACGTATTATACATGTACGTATCCGTATTTATATTTTTACGTCTTCGTATTTTTTTGCCGAATTTTTTAAATATATTTTAAAAAAAATATCGAATTATACTCATACGTTTTCGTACCTGTATTTTTTTCGTATCGTATTTTACTAACTATGATACAAACACGGGATTGTTTAAAATGAAAGAAATAAAAGTATTGAGAGGGATAAAGACCGATACTCTATCCAAGAATGAGAAGATTAGAAAGAAGAGAATAGCAAGTTAAATAATATTTTATAATTTTAAAATTATTCTTAATAATTATAAAGTAAAAATTATTATTTCACTCACATCCTATTTAATTAAAATGATATAATAATAATTTAGTTGTTATTATCATTGTTTTTTTTTTTTTTGTCCTTTTTATTATCCAAACAAAAATACTATTTATTTAACATAAATAGAGTATTGTCCTTCTATTTCTTTTATTTTCTCTTATAATTAATGTTTTTTTTTTTCTTTCTCTCTCCTATATATATAAACCGAAATGAGTACAAATTAAATTTAAAAGTAATAAAGTCAAACATCACGTCAATCTCTATTTTATTTCTTCCGATTCTTACCCATGCAGGATATATTCTCCATAATTGAGATAATAAAGAGAATCTTAACTGGATTCTATATACTAATTGAAATGAGTCAATTATATACTTATTTAGGTAACTTATTGAAAAAACTACATATAGAGGTAAACTTAATAACCTTAAATAACAAAATAGTCTAATTTTAAAGTTTACTTTTTAATTTAATTAGATTAAACAAAATAATTATAAATACATCAATTATAATTGTTAAGGTCCAAAACACCCTCCAAGCTCTTATCTTAAAATACCAAAATATCCTTAGAGTTATATAAGTTCAAAATACCAAAAAAACAATTAAGAAACTATCGAATCCTGCTTTTGAAGAGGTGGATCCGGTGTTTGGAAGGAGCCGTGAGTGAAGAAAATCAATCTATTGCAACAAGCCTGACAAACGATTAGGGAGTATTTACAAATCCAAATTTATTTTACACGGTATTTTCTCCCTCTGTATATGTACAGTTTACATGTTTATAAATATACTTTTGAATCTATTTTCTTGTTCTGAAGCAAGAAAGACATTTTGTTTATAAATATAACAATTTAAGACGTATTTGTTGTGTGTTTGGAGAAATTGTTGTTGGTTTGGTTTTATGCAAATGAATTGTTTGATTAAATGCCCAATTGAAGAAACAAAACACTTTTTGAAGACACAGAACACTTGTGATCATGTTTAGATTCCTTGAGGCCGGCAATTCTATTATCTAATAAGTCCTTAATGTAGCATAGAGGCGTATGGTTTTCCAATCTTTTTTATTTCCCCCTAAAAGTATGGTTTTCCAATAATGGTGCAGCGGACCATGGTTTGGTATGAGATGGACAGAGCCAGTTACATACCTATTGTTTATGTGTTATGTCATACAACAGTCCTACCATTTCTCGGCTTATAGGATAACCCATAGTCTCTTGCTCCCCCACGTTTACCTTCCATAACCATACCAAGTCTCAGAAACTCTACCATCCTGACCATAAGTGTCATGAATATAGCACCTGTTGATTCTGTATATAGAGTTGTGGTTGAGACCCAGTGGGTACCATTCTATCAGTAAGACCTAATGTCTTTGGGTTTCAATTTTAGGAACAGGAATATGTCCTTCAAAGTTATAGTTTAACTTTAGGAGCTTAACATACCAATGGAATGCATGATGTGAGAAGTTCTATTTGTGAGAACAGAATAATAAAGGTTATACAATCTTATTTTAGTGAGAATTGAATATCACTGAATTGTAATTTATATGGCTTTATGATTAATGTTACTTTTCGGACTTCTTACAAATTGAGTAGTTTTTAGATGGAGCAATTGTTATTATATGAATTCAATCATACATGTTTTATAAACCTTGTCCAATATGGATCACCATATTTAGATAGAATAAAGATCATATGACAAAACTGAGTTATCAAACCTATGCAACCTTTAAATGATCCTATTATAAAATTTATGATTTTTCAAAATGTTTCTAAGATACTGAAATCAAATTACTATGAAGAAGAATATCATTTAGCCTGCATATGTAATCTTAATCACATGAAGGAGGAAAAAAAACATTTAGCCTGCATATGTAGCAGTATGCTCCCCATGTTTCACACTACAATTTCATTAAAGGAGACATAATATAATTTTTGCATAATTCAATTTACCACTGTCATACAAGAAAATTTTACCACTGTCATACAAAACAACTCTCCAATTCTCAATTCCTTGATCTGACTGACTGACATGAATATTACTTGGAAAGGAGTCATAAGATTAAATTGATTTTTTATTTTTTAAAACACGTGCTCATGTCTTCAAAACTGGTCAATTCGAGTTTTGTGGTTTAATAACTACTCGTATTCAATCCTCATGGTTATTAATTCAAGCTTTAGTTCAAGCCAATACTAATAATCATAATATAAAATAAGAAAGGAACTCACTTCAAACAAATTCCTTTGGTTTTGCATACAGGTCAAGCCATACTCTAGATTTTGGGCTCTAGAGTACCAGTTTTAAGTTCAGGTATTTTTGTTATGGCCTTCGGATTAGTAGATCTATTTGTCTGTAGTATTTGATTTTAAGCTCAACTCTTTTTTTTGCTTAATTCTTCTTCTTGGTTTTTTTTTTTAAATTTTTTTATTATTTTATTAATTTTTATGATCACAGAGAACCTCGAATAGATATGGAAAGAGAAGTCAGAGATGTAGTTTGTTTTTGTCGTTGCGGCGGAAAAAAAGTAATAAAAGAAAATAGTAGCATTATGTACGTAGGTGGTGTTACGGATGCTATTGCAATAAAGACGAATATGACGTTTGAAGCCTTCAAAGAAATATTGTGCCAACAATTTTTGATTGATTTTCATGGAAAAGTGATATGGTATACTAGCAAAATGGACAAGACTGAACTCTTGTGATTGTCTAATGATCTTAGTATGAAGGCAATGTTTATAGTAAATGACAACACAGTCGATATTTATATTGATGATGGAATGGTGGTTAGCCAAGAATCCTTTCCTAATCCAATCAACTTGAGGTACTTCAAGGTCTTAGTAAACTTAAAATGTTTTTTTTAAGTATATATATATATATATATATATATATATTAAATGTAGAGAATATGTTGTTAGTCTAATACTATAAATTTTATGCAGGACACCAAATGAAGATTGTGACAACTCTTAATTGTTGAACAATGACATTATCGGCTCTAGTTTGCAAGAATCTGCTTCTGTGCTGTGTCAAAATACTTATAGACATGTTCAAAAACTTAAAGGGGAAGGACAACTATTCGAAAGCCCAAATGCCTTCAAAGACGCAATTACTCTATTTGCATTTACCAATCGCTTTGCTTTCAAGTACATGAACAATAGTCGTACATATTATAGGATTAAATGCAAGGTTGACAACTGTCCATGGAAATTAACAGCTGGATGTGAAGGGGAATCCGACACTGTAAGGGTGAAAAGATTTAAAAATGTTCACACGCATACTGTACAAGATGTAAGTTACTTCAAACCAGTTGTGCGTTCAAAGGATTTAGGAAGAATTGTGATGAATAAGATTCGAGAAACCCCTTCTTATTTTCCCAGACAAATTAGCAAAGATTTTAAGAATGATTTTCGAATTAAAATAAATTACATGCAATCTTGGAGAACAAAGGAACACGCAAAAGAAGCCATTGATGGGAAGCCAGAGGATAGTTATAAGTTGGTTCCTTGGATGTGTCAACGACTGAGGGAATCTATGCCGGGCACTATTGCAAAATGGACATGCACAGAAGAAGGAAAATTTAAACAATTATTTGTATCGTATCGATGCTCAATAAGAGGCTTTGAAGTTGGTTGTAGACCTATTTTATCCATTGATGCTTGTTACTTGAGTGGCAATTACAAGGGCACACTACTTGGCGCCACTGGGTATGATACTGATGAGGGGTTGTATCCTTTGGCATATGCAGTAGTTTCTGGAGAAACTGATGAGGACTGGTTGTGGTTTTTACAAAATGTGAAAGAAGTCATAGGAGGGCGCATTGTAACTATCATAACAGATAGAAATTCAAGCCTAATCAGTGGGGTTAGAGATGTCTTTGGTTCACAGTGTCACTCATGGTGTCTTCGGCACCTAATGGAGAATTTTACAAAATTTATGAATAGTAAGAGTGGCTTGAAATTGCGTGGTTCATCTAAGGATACAGCAAAAAAGTTTCTTAATAAGATTGCATATGCAAGAACAACAGAGACGTGTGAAAAAGCATTACAAAAAATGGCTAGTTTTCGAAAGGAGTTGTTTGATTGGGTGTCAGAAAATGGACCAGAACATTGGGCGAATACTCTTTTTCCATTGCCGCGTTGGGATATCATGTACACAAACCAAGCAGAATCCTTTAATGCTTGGGTTAGAGAGGAGAGACTATTGTCGATTATGAGGCTAATGGACGGTCACTTAACAAGACTCACTGAGTTTTTATACAGAAAGAAGATGGAAACTGAAAGGTGGCCAAACCCTGTAGGACCGAATGTTGAGGATAAAATGAAGAAGAGACAGCTAGCTGCACATGGGTTTTCATGCATGCCTTTGGTCCTACGGAGTGTACAGTTTATGATTTAAAGAAACGAGGGTTCAAGGCTGTGTTTGGCAAAGAATCTTTTTGTAGCTGTATGGAATGGACTATGAGTGGCATCCCATGTGCACACGCCTGTTGTGCTATTGAGGCATACTCTCTTAATATTTATGACATGGTTGATCCATATTTGAGGGTTGAAAAGCAACGTGAAATTTATGAAGAAGTTATGTCACCTGTTCTAACGCATGACATGCCAATTCCAGATGAAATTGATAGCATAATGCCATTGCCTATTGAGGTGATGAACAATGCGTCTACTTCTAGCTCTCTTAGACCTCCATCTGTTAGGCGTCCTCCTGGTAGGCCTCGTACAAAAAGGATTGAATCACAATTTCAGGACAATAACATTATTATACATTGCTCTCGATGTGGTGAACCAAGACATAATAGGCGAAATTGCAAAGCACCACTGGCAGGATAAATTATTGGTCGTTGATCATATCTCATCACAAAAATGTGGTCTCTTCGTTTTATTTAGTGATCTAATTTTTTTTCACTTTTAGAAAAATAAAAATAGTGAACGAATTTTTTATTTGTATGGCAAATTTATGTGTCAATGGACTATTTTGGGTTGTTTAGATTGTGATGAATGATTGCACTAGTCAAATTTTGAAATTGTCATTATCAATTTTGATGTTGTATATAATTCTCTTACAAAGAATGTGGTGGTGGGATGGTTTTGATAAATAGTAATGGGGAAGCTGTGAAGATTGCCTTGGTTTTTTTTTTTACTCATATTAGAAGTTCTTTAATGGCAGAAAATCTTGTGTTTTAATACAATTATCAGGGTAGACTTCTTTAATATATCCGACACTCATATACTAAATTAACCCGAGATTCCACCCTTTTTAAACTTTGGTTACTTACTAATCTATACTGTTATGGAGTTCTCACCAATCATCTTTGCAGGAACATAATTCTTGAAGTAATTGAAATTTAACTCTGTTCTTGATCATAATTATTATGTTATATGCTCTGGATACAAACTTGGTGAACATATGGGAATCTTTACAAACTCTCAAATTCTTTACAATCCGAAGACTTGTTCCTTGTGGTGTTCTTGCCAGCTCAAAAACAATTTCCAAAGAATTAATTTTTCCAAAACGCTCCCTTGCAGTAGACTCATGAATTGGCACCATTTAATCTCATATAACCAACCAAGGAGGGTGGAAGATTAGTTGGGCATATGATAAGGAAGCTGAGAAAGATTGAAATGGAGGGATAGTCATGAATAGATCCAGTCATGAGCCTTTGATCATACTTTTTTTTTTTTTTTTTTTTGCTTGTTACATAGCTGTGTGCAACATTCTATGAATTGTTTCGGTTTATGGACACTTATGAAGTCAGCATTTTACTTCCTTTATTAAAAAGAGGTCAAGTCTTTAGCTTCGGTTACTCATCCTGGCCTAATAATACCAATCAATCTCATTGCTTGCATTTTACTTCTAAATTTTCGATTTCAAAGTCTAGCATTAAATTACAAGTAAAATTAAAAAAAAAAAAAAAAAAATTTGTGGTAGAAGTGAAAAAACACAAATCAGAATTTGGTAACTTAGCTACAACAAACTACTAAACTACAAAAATTGATTTGTTTCTGAACCATTGTGGTGTTTCTGTTGTGTGTCTGCAAGTGGAGCTTGTGGGTATGGTAATTAGTACAATTGAGTATTGTGCTCTTCCAACAATGGGCAGAGCCGGTGTCACTTTGGGAGCCCATCCTCGTCACTGTCACTAACTTCTACCCACAATACTACGCCCTGCCGTGCCCAACGTCAATGGTGGCTCGTGCAACCCTCAGAAGTCAGACCCCACTTCGACTTCGCCATTCCCATGTTCGTCAAGATAGTTCGTCATCCTATAGAGGACTGCGGCAAGCCTGACCATGAATCAGATAATGCAATACGTCCCATGGCAATCACCTACAACACGCACCTTTCCTACCTAGTCTGAAGGCCAGCTCTGTTCTTGCTGGAGAGGAGGAGCGAAGGACCAACCAAACGTTATTGTCCGGCAGAAGGATAATAGTTCCTTATTCTTTTTTGTTATTTTAGAATTATATAATTCTAAGGATATTTTAGTATTTTAAAATAAGAGCTTTAAGGATATTTTGGACCATAACTACAATTGTTGATATATTTGTAATTATTTTGTTTAATCTAATCAAATTGAAAAATGGACTTTAAAATTAGACTATTTTGTTATTTTAGGCTACTAAGTCTACCTATATATAGTTTTCCCTAACTTATTTACTAGTTATAAATACTGAAAGTAATTCTATATAATTTTTTTCCCGATATAACTCACTCATCGACTTTACTCACTTATACGAAACTATAAATTTAAAGTAAAGGAGACACCAAAAACATGGATTTTTTTTTTTTTTTTTTCAATAATTGTTATTATTTTCCAGGCCTTTGGATCATAACATCATTATATTAAAGACTGCCTTTTATCTGGGCCGAACTTGCACTCAAAATTGAGCTCATGTGAGCTTGGCGTGCCTTGATTGCCTGCATGATGAGTGAGGCCTATACGCCTAGTTAAAAAAAATGATATTCAGGCCCAACACTTTAGGTGCCGAAAGCATCATAACCAAACGGAGCATTTTGCCAAATTAAAAGGTGTAACAAATTTTTAAATGCATAGGAAGGTCTATATAATTTATTGAAGGTCATTTATTCGTCCTTTAGAATTACTCTTTATTTAAATAAAGATTAAAAAAATTAAGTAACATATCTATTATTTCTCTTTTTTGATCTCCTTGAACAAATTTATTCAAAATTATCAAAGAACCAAGTGGCCCAATTTTACAAGCCCCCCCCCTCCCCGAAGGGGAGGTCATGAGTGCATCAAGTCTCCATGGAGGCAAGAAATTTTTTCGATTCTAAAATCAGTTCACTAAGTTAATTGGAAAAGTTTATTTTTCTTCATCATCATACAAAAATATCATTCTGTTCTACGGTTATGATTTGTGCGCTTAGGTGAATGGTCTACCAACATTTTTGTACACAATTTTGACAAACTTTGTTGGCATCCACCTAAAATGCTAGTACGATTATATATAACCAAATCAACGATAGATTAAGACGGAAGATAAATACAATCAGGAAGTAGAACGTTTAATAGCCACTTGAGCCATACCCTCCACTCCAAATCACCACATTCGGCTACTAAAGCCTTTTTACCAAGCAAATGAGCCACCGCATTGCCTTCGCAAGGCACCCAAGCCAAAGAAGCACCCTTACAAACTTTAAGAAGAGAAATAACATCATTAAAAATTACACTTAAAGCCTCAGCAGAGGGTAAGAGATGCATCACCGGCCGACAAATCCCCTTCCACCACAACATTTTCATAACCCCACACTTTGAGAAGAGAGAGGCATTCATGAATAATTAAGCTTTCAGCGATGGACGGGCCACTCATATAGGAGAAAAAGAAAGAAGCCACCCAGATGGGCTGCCCCACATCATTTCTCAATATCAGAACTTCTCCATAGAGCAGCCGAGAGGAGTCAAAAGCAGCATCAAAATTCAGCTTAAGATAGCTTCTTGCCGGAGCACACCACTTCAAAGAAATAGGAGCCACGGAAGGAGAAGGAAGAGATAGAAAATGAGATTGGCGCGAGATCTTTTGGAATTCAATAAAGTCGCGATACGCTTTCTGAGCCGCTTCAAAAGGACCCTATTGATGATTAACAAAGATAAGATCGTTGCGACATTTTCAAATAGTCCAACAAATGAAATAAGCAAAACTCACACAGTTCTGCATATTCTCAGACCGAAACCACTACTCTGTAAGAGCCATCTATCTCTTAGGCCAAAAGAAGGGACTTGTCCCTCGAAAATCCATACGCAGAGGGAACAAGAACAAGACCAAACTTGCAAAAGGACAGGTACAAAGAAGATGATCGATTGTTTCGATTGCGGAATCACAAAAAGGACATAAAGAAATTGTATCTATCCCCCGAATAGAGAGTAAAGAGTTCACAGGAAAATAATCATGCAAACTTTGCCAAAGAAAAAGCTGAATTTTCTTATGAGTATTAATTGACCAAACAGTGCGCCACAAATCAGTTTTTGCTGCCTCAAAACTGCAACTCTCAGATGGGGCTGCCTTTGATTGCAAGTTAAGAACAGAGAGAACAATCTTGTATGCATTGCGAACTGAAAGAGATTCATCTAGTGACGCCCCCTATACTTTGTAATCTGTCTCTCCCAAAACACTAAGAGGGATTTAAAGAATTAAAGCCTGATCCCGTGGATTAAAGAACCGCATCACCAACTCAGAATTTCAGAGATGAGAAAAGTGGATAATTAAATCAGCTACAGAGGAAAATGGAGCATCCCGTTGCTTAGAAGTAATTAAACTATATAAAGAATCTGGGAGCCAATTGTTATGCCAGCAGTTAACCATCATGCCATCTCCAATACGCCATTTCATCCATTTTTTTGATAATAGCTCGAGCAGAACATATACCCCCTCCAAGCCCATGAAGCTTTAGCCTTATATGGAGCATCAACAAAATTGCAGCTTTTGAAATACTTTTTTGCTTAAAAGATTTAAAAAGAAGAGACTCATCTCCGACCTTCATTCACCACGCCATCTTTGCAAGCAAAGCCAAGTTAAAAGCCTCAATATTTTTAAAGCCCAAACCTCCAGAGATTTTGGAATCACAAATAGTAGACTAGCTAACCCATTTAATCTTATATGATTTTTTCTCTCCCCTCCACCAGAAATTGAGAAGCTTGCTCGTCAAATCCTTACAATTCTTCTTAGGTAATTTAAGACATTGAATGGCATACATCGGGAGAGCATTGAGCACAGCTTTCAGCAATACTTCCCTACCTGCTTTGGAAAACAAATTTCCTTTAATAATCTTGACTTTGGAGGAAACCCGATCTGAAGTGAAATTTAGAGATGCAACTTTGGACCGTCCTAAGATTGAGGGAAGCCCAAGATATTTATTTTTCGAATCAACATTGTCAATGCATAAGATCTGTCTGCACATAACTTTCAAGTCCAGATTAGTATTAGGAGAAAAATAAATAGAGGACTTATCAAAATTAACCAGTTGTCCAATTAGGTTTGCGTATCTATCCAAAATGGATTAAATGCTACGAACCTCCGAAATCATTACTTTACAGAAGAGAAGGGCATCGTCTACAAACAGCAAGTGAGAAATAGGAGAACAACCGTTAGCCATTTTCAAGCCATTCAACTTTTTCCTGCTTTCCAATTGATGAAATAAAGTAGACAACCCTTCAGTATAGAATAGAAAAAGGAAGGGGGAGAGAGGGTCTCCCTGACACAAGCCTCTAAAAGGAACAAAAGTATCCCCCCTTTCACCATTCAATAGCACTGAAAAAAATACAGTACTAATACATTCTTTCATTAAGTCCACCCACCTTTGACTGAAACCCAAATGACTCATGAAATTACAAACAAATGACCAATTAACTCGGTCATATGTTTTAGCCATGTCCAGCTTAAGAGCAAGAGAACAAGAATTTCCATTCTTTTTAGATTTTAGAACATGCAACAGATCATGGGCCAAAAGAATATTGTCATGACTAAGTCGATGAGGAACAAAAGCACTTTGGGAGTCACTGATGAGAAGGGGCAGAAACACTTTGAGTCTATTGGCAAGAGTTTTAGAAAATAATCAATACACCACATTACAAAGGGGTATAGGATGAAAATGAGATATTTGGGTAGGATGTTTCACCTTTGGGATGAGGACCAAATTAGTTTCATTTAAATTATTTAGGAGCAAACTACCTTGTAAGAAGGAATTAAAACCTTGGAGAAGATCAAACTTAATAGTATCCTAATTTGTTTTGAAGAATAGTAGAGTAAAACCATCTAGCCCCGGCGCCTTATATGATCCCATACCTGCATGCTAAAACATCCCAAAGCTCATCTAAAGTGCCATCTTTCAACAGCTCCTGATTCATATCTGACGAAACCTTGGAAGGAATAGAAGTCCAAAATTGAGAGTCATCACTAGCCGAAGGGATGCTACTTTCCTAATATCATCTTTAGAATCTTTCTATGTACCAGTAGAGTCCTCTAACCCAATAATTTCATTTTTCCTACTCTGAATCTGAGTCTTTCTGTGAAAATACTTGGTATTTTTGTCCCCATGCTCCAACCAAGCAATTATTGATTTCTGCAGCCCAGTACAGTTCTTCATCACGCCAAGCACAACCCAATTTGAGATCACGAGACCCATCCAAGGCCGATTTCTCCGCGATAATTACTTCGAGTTGTTCCTCCTCTGAAAGCTTACAAAACTCCAGTTGAGATGCAAGATCATCCTCCATGGGGAAAAGAACGGAAAATCAATTTACAAGAAAAACAGAGAACACAGGAAAAAGTACAAAAAAAAAAATAAAAAAAAAATAAAAAAAAGGCTTGTCAAAACAAGGAAAAGGAGAAAACCAGAGCACTTGAGAATCAAGAACGCTGCAGTAGAACATTGCGATTACCAGGAGGACAAACCCTCTGGCAAGCCAAGGGAAAAAGAAAAAACCCATTTTCCAGTACGATTGTGAAACTATGCGGCGTTAAGTACGCGTTGTACATTGGAGTACATTACATAAACTTAACTATTACAACACGACAAAAAGTTTTTAATTGTTGTTAGTTGGAACACTCTACTATTTTCCTTATCCCTTAACCCAAAAAAACTATTTTCCTTTTCCTTATCTTGTACGAGTTATCGCGGGCGAAAGCAAACGGCCGTTAACGGCGTCGAAACCAACCGACCGGCATTTGACAGCTAACGTCGGTTTAGGCGGCAGAGGAAAAGACGAGGAGTTTGCCGGAATGAAATTCATCGTCCGACGATAAGGACCGAACCATTTGTTCTGCATGTATCGGTTCTTCCTCCACGGAGGAAGGTGCAGACCTCTACTCTTCAACGACAGCTTCGCTGCGTCGCTCATCACCTTCACGATCTGCTTCAACTCCTCACTCCTCCCTACTAAAACCCTAGGCAGTGCCTGAAACATTTGCTCGTACTGATTAGTAGGTCTCGCGATCTCAAATTCTCCGGCGAGGTCGAGTTCGATAAAATAACGTCCGTTTAGGTCCGATCGGACTACGTCGATGAACTCGTAGTTGCCGGAGGTGAGTCCGCCGGAGCTCTCCCACTTGGTCTTGCAAATCGCGGCATTGTATCCACAGTCTCGGAGAAAAGCCATAACCCTTCGCCGGAGAATGAGTTTGTCCGGTGTGACACTGGAGAACGCAACCATAGCACTGTAAACACGCGCCACTAGTTCATTCTTGAAGGAATCAGCTCGATCAGTAACCGCCTTACGTATTAAGTCTTGAATCACGTTCGCTGCTGTAGAAATTGACCGATCGCTCCCTGAATCTAACTCATTTTCCGACAACTGAACACTGGCATCATCGTCTACGAGAAAGCCATCAACGAGATCGGAGAGAGACAGCGATTCGTCGTCGCTTTCTCTGGCGTGTTCACTTCCGCTGCTGGACCGATCAAGACCGAAGATTCGAGCCCTGACCTTGTCACCGAGAAGGTCCGACGTTACTCGCTTGGTCCTCGGAAAACAATCCATTTTAGGTCAAAGTGATGTGTATATGAAATGAATTAAGTTAGAGAGGAAGATTTTATAAGCTTATAAAGGGTAGTGCTTGTTTGAAAAAAAAAAAAAAAAGGTAGTAATAGTTCAGAGGAATTTAGAAGGGAATATTCGTGAAGACGTAGTGTTTAAAAATGAGTAGTTTTTATGATAATATGGAGGTCGATAGCAGTCTGTAAATATAGTGGGGATATCCGGATAGCATCGGAGTTAAGAAGAGAGATGATGTGGAGGCATATCCCATGATGATTCCTCTGTTGACGTGGGAGTTGGTAATTTGGCCACGTTTTTGTAATTGGGAAGCGTGGGGGCATGAGTTGTCACGTGGATAGACAATGTTGTTTGCATGGAGGGGGAGGTGGGGAAGTATGTTTGTAATTTACTATTTGAGTGGGGCCAGGGGCAGGGTCAGAGTCCAGGGATTTTGGCTCTTCGTTTTTCTTTAGGAAAATTGGAGGGGGTTTGGTTGCCTCTTCATTAGTGCCAAGGGTGAGAAAGTACCGAGGAAAAGGATAGGGTTGCTTTTTTTATTTTTTGGATTTTTGATTTGACAAATCTGCTCTTTGGGGGTACAAATTCAGTGACCAGCTGTTTAATGTGAGCAGAATTTCTTGGATTGCAAGAAAGACTTTTAGTGGGGTGCTTTGGACTTGGTGACGTTTAAAAAATAATATCCCAAGAATTATATGACTATATGAGATATACATGTGTGTGTGTAGAGAGAGAGAGAGAGAGAGAGAGAGGGGGAGTAAATTGTAAAAATCTCCTATGATATAAAAAAATATGCAAAAAAAAAAAAAAAATACCACTAATATTTATATGTGCCTTTAAATTACTATAATTTAAATATTTATAACAAATTGATTTAAATTGTCAATTTTAACTAAATTTTTTGTTTATAAAAACTAAAATATCCTTAAAAGCACTTTAGACTTTTCAGTCTTTATTATTATTATTGGTAAAAATTTGAAAAATTCTAATTTTATTTGTAAAAATCCCAATTTATTTTTAGAACCTAAATTTGTTTAAAAGAAAAATGTCAAAATTTTTAAATCAGTTTTTTTTTTTCTTTTTCTTATCTAAAGCATTTTAAATATTTCAGTATTTAAATTCAAATTTTTTTTTTCCTTTTTCATTGTAAAACTTGAATCCTTCACTTCACCTTTGAAAAGTGGGAAGCTGCATTAGGCCACTGTCCATTGACATTGCTATGATTACAATTTATGTAAATTGTACTTATGCCTCTTGTACTTTTATCTCTTGAGATTTTGGTTAACGTCACCCAGCCAATAAAACATACTTCTTTACTCTTTTATATTGAAATCGCTTAAAATTTCAAAAGTCATATTTATTCTTAATTATTTAATTCAAAAAATTCACAAACATATCATGCTTATAAATCAACCAAAAAGTCATATTTATCCTTAATTATTTAATTCAAATAATTCACAACCATATCATGCCTCTCATTAAGTCATGGCCAACCCCAAAAAAACCCTCGTAATTATTCTGTAATCCCACCACAACCACCGCCGCCACACCCACATACACACCACCACAGCCACCAGAGAAGAAAACCATGGCCAACCCAAATACAAGAGGTCCAGAGCGGCTGCGGCTATAAAAACCTCCAGGTCGCTGTCCTCTCCACGACGGAAACCAGGTAGCTGGCAGTGACCTGATTTCTAATACTACGTACAATGAATTTTTCGACGCCGAACTCATTTGGGCTTCGTGCAGTAAAATCCGGTGTCGATTTTGCCTTGTTGGGCTCACCAGTGTGCTCAGTAAACACCAGAGAACAGATAGATCATTCTCTGTCGCCGGAGGCTATATCGCCGATTTCTTTAACCTCCTCGTAGAGGCCTCAACTATCATCATCATCATCGGCGACGCCGTACCGACCAACAAGGACCTGGTTTTGCTCCACCACAGATCCAACGCTTCACTGTCCAACGAATCGTCGCAACAGCGATGAAGGTATGGAAGGGTGGAAATATGTGCTCCGGTACAGTGTCCCCGCCCTCATTCATTCCCCGTCAATTGCTTCAAAACTGACCCTGTCAACGCCGTCACCTACTGGTGCGGGTGTGGCGACGCCGTCTGCGCCGGCACTAGCGTCACCAAGTTAGGGTTTTGTGATGTGGGGAATGGGATCAGCGATCTGGTTGTCACTATTTCAAGAATAAGTTTAGTTCGTGTGGCTCTCTGTCTTGTTGGGTCTTCTCTGACAAAAATTCTGTCTCCATAAAGTTACTATTACCGTATAAAGCAAGTGTATAAAGAGAGAAAATGGTCGGTAAAAATTAATTGTTGGTTTTGATGCAGACCTGGTCATGAGTTAGTTGAGCCAGTATGGGAAAATGGTCGTCTTATGATGCAAGGTCAGTCGACGCTAGTTAATGGACACTTAGTCTTTTGAAGGTCAAGAGGGTATGTGCATGCAGGATTTTTAAACTTCAGGAATGTAAATGTAAAGAATTACATTGACGAAAACTCAGGGTGTCGGTGCAATTTATTCTTAAAATTTTAAATGAACTTATTTTAATAATTACTAATAATTTGTAAAATTTTCAAAGAAATTCACTTTTCCATTTACGTTCCGTTTGATTAGATGAAAATAGTGAGAAAATAAAATAAATGGAAAATAAAAAAAAAAATGAAGTGAATGAAAAGATGAAAATTTATTTAAGAAAATTGTAAGAAAATATTATGTTATAGTTTGGATACCTAAATTGTTCTTATTTTATAAAAATGGTAAAATAATAAAAAATTAATTACTAGAATGTATATAAAAAAATAATGGAGTTTTCAATTAATTTAGACTTTGTAAACTATTATTTATTTCATTTAAGGGTGGTCATGGATCGGATTAGGCATCAATCCTAATCTAATTTGCTCCCCGGATTAGACAAATCTTAATTTGTCACCGATCCATTATCCCACGGATCGGATCGGATCCGTGTAATAACGGATTAGATCCTCGGATTAAGTTTTATCTATATTATTCATTATTATTTATATAATTAATATTATTTATTATTTATTTATCTTTTAACCATTAACCAATAGATAAAATTTTAATTTATTAATATTAATTCATATATTTAAATAATTATTAACTAATACATTGGTAGAGTCCATTAAATTATCATTAACTAATTAAATTAACTAATATATTCTTTGAAAATATATATATATTTCTCGGATAGGATCGGATTTTTAACAGTCCAATCTGTGATCCGATCTGTGAGGTACAAATTTGATTTTTTTAAATCCGTCACCGATCCATGAGTGTAGTAATCCGATCCGATCCGCACGGATCGGATCAGATTCGCATATTATTTACCCACCCCTAATTTTATTCATATATGATGGAAAGTAACTAAAAATGAAAATCAAGTTAATTAAAACCCTATCAATGATAAAGTTATTCTGTAACTGCAATTCTTTAAAATCCAGTAAAAAAATATGATAAAGTTGTTATGTAAAATAATACAATGATGTTGTTCCGTAAAATAGGAACACAAAATAAAAAAAATGTTGCTTTCATGTGAAAATAAAAATTTCCTTTACTGAAATAGATATAATCTATGTTATATTATATACATAAGTACATGCAGTAGACCCATTGTACCCAGTGGTTCATTCTCAGTGTTTTATATGGGAAACGTTTTGAGAAAAATAAAGGATTACGAGAATCTTAATTTTTTAAAATTTTTTTCTTTCTATTTGACCAAACTCCTAAAAAAATTAAAATTTTTTATTTTCTTTTTTTCTCGTAAATTCTATGTAACCAAACGAAAACCAAACGATGCGTTAATAAATACGAAAATTTCCCACATTTTCTTGTCAACCTTTTTCACTCTTCACATCTGACTGACTGACTGACTCTTCTGGAGAATTTTTTTGTGGTCTATCAAATCGAGCTCGACGTTCTCACAGTAATCTCGCATGTAGCAAATTCAAACGTATATGTTTTTAGCCATGCAATAGGAGTAGAAAAGTAGAGGAGGACGCTTCAAACATAATGGACCTCTTTAACTAGTCCGCATGGACCATATTGCATTTGACAGGCCCAAGTCTCCCTAATATCATCCATTTAATCTACCTTAGAGAGAGTTGGAAAAACCACTTCAAATGCTGTTAAACGTCGTATTAGGCTTGTACCTGATTTTACTCTGGACACCCGTTTTTGTAGGCCACTAGCCCAATTTTCCTGCTGTTTTGGGCTTAGTAGTAATACCAGTTATTGTCGGCCACTAACTCAATTTCGCTGTTTCTGCCACAGTTTGGGTTGGACCAAGTTCAATTGATTAAGGACCGGGCCTTCCACTTAGTGATGGTCAGTTCTGTTCCTATTGGATCACCCACATACATGGACAAGTTAAACTTCTAAATGAGTTAGGCTTGCCATTCTAAACCAGTATTACATTGGACCACCTATCAATTAAATCCAGTCTCTCATAAGTTCAAACCAATTTTGTTTTTTTCTTTCAATTGTTATTACAACAATACAATACAATGCCCCCGGGGGCTTGGCAGTGATGGTAGGGTTCGGGGCTAGCATCCAATCGGCCAGCGTTCGACTCCTACCAAGCCTTCTAATTTCTCCGTCTTACCCGGTGTATTTTTGGGGCGAGACTCTGCACTCCCAGATTTGTAGCCTAGGGTGAGTCCCAAAGGGGTCCTGCCTAGGTGAGTTCCTGGTGCTAATTAAAATAATAATAATAATAATACAATACAATACAATACCGAGGAACAATAAAAAATATAACAATCCATAATATTCCATAAAAGACAATAAAAATATTGATAACTTTAAATATCTATTTTTAGTACAGAATTAAATTGTATTACTGGATTTGGAATTCTCATTAATAACTGTATTACACATAGGGGGAATGACAAGAAGATTATTTATTGGGTTGCACTTGCATAGAACTAATAATTGTGTCATTACGTGTATATGAAACGAATAATTTTTCTATGACAACCTATATATGTTAATCAAATACTACGTATATAGCTGTGTCGGGATTTTTTTTAAAAAAATTACAAAAATATTATATTATATTATATATTTAATATTTATGAGGCGGTGATTAGAGATGAATTATTACAAAAATAAATGGTATTATTTGTTTGATTATTGTAATTTAATACAAATATGTTACGTAATGAATGGATTGAAATATAGTGTTTATTCAATGATAACTCAACGTATCTAACATTTTGATTGGTTCATGCCATTTCACCACCAGATGCTTAGGCCCCTAGTTTTAGGATCTCTGGTTTTGGGGCAAACCGACCATTCAATATACTAATCATATTTTATATCACAAATAAACAAGACTATAAAGCAAAAGAACATCGTATTATATGATATATATATATATATATATATATATATATATATATATATATATATATATTGATAATATATATAGTGCAAGGCAAAAAAGAAAAGAGCTAGGCACTCCACCAGCACAATCTTTAATTAGGATAAACTCTCTATTATAGATGTATGTGTATTATATATATACATATGCATATCAAATATCAATATATGTGATGATCGAGCACATTAATTCGTTTTGGCATACTACTTATTGTTATTGAATTGTGTGAGTATGTGTGCGCTGTTGTGCTACTTACAGGACAAGGCACAGACCAACCAGACAAAACCCTCTTAATCAGGAATTACTTGCATATATACGTACAAGACAATATGATAGCAACTAGAAAAAATTAATTAATAATTAACAGACAATTGTTTATAAGGTTGAAATTAATAAATTATTTTGGTAAGCTAAGCTAGCTTCCAATGCGTTACTTGTTGGAATTATAGTTTGAATTTTGCTGACATGACGTAAAGCTCTCATTATTACCAAAATTGAATTGGTTGTGCTCTTTGTAAGCTTAATATTGATAATTATAAGATCTCAGCTAGAATATTTTCAACTACAATCTTTTCATAGTTGATAACTGAATCCAACTGATCTTTTATGATTTGGTTTTACAATTCTAATCGTTTCAGTTTCGGTTCTATTTTTTTTTAAAAAAACATTCGAAATTGATTCGTTTCTGATTTAGTTCAGAATCGGACCGAACTGAATCAAATCAAATCGTTTGCACCCTAATAACGGATACTCATTCCCCTTAGAAAAGAAGTGATTATTAAGCAAAAGAATGAGTTGCTGAAACAGAAAGAAAGGAGTCTGAAAAGATTAGGAATGGCATTTTCTTCCAAAAGGGGGTAGTAGCACTCTGTCTCTTAAAGACAAATTCTTGAGCAACTGAATTGGGCTAGATGGTGACTAATATAGGTAGTAAGTCCCATTTATTGATCTATATAATACCATAAAGTAGATGCACTTAAGAAGTGGCCATCTTTATATTCACTTTGAAGAGGTTTGTAAATATACTTGGTTGGGGTTGATAGCTTACATTTACAGTTGCCTAGTTGGTATTGTGCTGTTAAGAGTGAGTAGTGACAAATCATTTTCCTTTTCCTTTTTCATTTCGTTTCCACAAATCATTATTTTAATTAATTAATCATTTTCTAAGTGCCAAAAACTCAGATTTAAAAATAAAATTGTTAAATGAGATACAAGAACTTTTTTAACTTTTTATTTATTTATTTATTTTATCTTCGGTATTTACAAGAAGTTAATTTTGGCCCGTTCAATTATATATTGTGCGCTGCAGAAGTTCCACGTAGCATATATATACATATATATAGGATGCACAAATTGTTAGTAATGAATATGGCATAAAGAATGAGAGATGAATTGTACAGTTAAAAAGGTCTTGTGGAGTTTATGGTACCAACTGGGGGGGGGGACACCAATGGTTGTTGGAATGCAGTGTTTTTCCATAACATGTATAATTCCAAGGTTATGGCCTCTCTTATGTAGGCCATACGTGAGAAGTTGTTAATTACATATAAGAATACAAAACGAATTCACACACGTGCGTATAGTGGAAGAAAGACTCTCACGGGTCAATGTAAATATTGTTCATTTTGTTTACAATATTTGAATGTGTCTACGTATATGTGTAAACAACTCTTTTAGACGACGGTGATAAACGTCACAAAGAGACTTATAATTACACTTGATCAGTAGTCGATTGGTCAAGTGTGAATGCAAGGCTTATCAATAAATGTGGAAGAAGACTCTGATCAAACCTACTCTCAGAGTATTCTTCCAAGTGTGAATGGCATTTGTTTGGAAATGAAATTTGGGTTGGAGAGAAGTGGTGATGTACAATTTTTAGGTGCAAGACTAAGTGATTGGAAGCAGCACGTTGTGAGGAAGAATTAAGTCCAAAGTAAACGAGTTAAGGTGTTTTATTACAAATAGTACTTGATACAAGATAAGTAGATAAATAATAGTGATTTATTTGGTAAATGCATAGTCGTCGTCAATCTTCAACCCATCTTCACAATTTTATATATTGTTTTGCCAATATAAAATCCACTCTAATGGTAAATCACAATTTTATATATTACCAATGTAGAATCTATTCTAATGATAAATGTTTAAATTACCATTGAATCAAAATGGGTGCCTGATTATATTTATTATCAATATTAAAATAATTATAATTAAAAATTATAATTGTAAGACATTTGTGCTTTTTAGTTCAAGTGGTAGTTTGTTTCAATATAAAATATTTTTTTTCGAAAAATATAGATACTTTTGAGTAAAATATTTTTTTTATTTGTATTTTTTGGTATTTGGCAAATGTATAGGTCGAGATTGAGGTCAAATTCATCATGTGGGACATGTAAAATAAACTTATCTGTCAACTTTCGGTAAGTTATTTTTGTTAAGTTATATGAGTAATATTTTTTTTCTTTATAAATATTTTACGACAATTATACAGTAAAAAATAAAAGATAAGAATTTCTGAAAAATATTTTATATCTAAACAAATGAAGCCTATATATTAAGGATTTTGAGGTATTTATGTGTAAAAAGAAAGATATACTATAAAATATTTAGATATAAGACATAAATTTAGATATATAAAATATTTTCTTTTTTCTTAAGTAATATATATATATGTTGTTTGACAAAAGTGTAGAAATAATTTAAAAATAATATTTTAGTGTCATACAAACCGAGCCTACGTCTCATCCAATCAGAGACGGATTCGAGAGGATTTGGCTACCCTACAAATCGTACCATATTGGGTGTGATGGGTTTCCTTGCATTTTCTTATATAGAAAGATTGATCACTAATTTGGATTTGTTTGCCATATATGTTATGTGAACCCGACCAATGCCGATTCTACCGGAGAGCTCTGCAAATTTTCAAGCAATGCTCCACTAGCTAGCGCTACGCATCCTAATGACTTTTTTATCCCTTCTAAAACTAAAACTAACGGATAATGTATGTATATATATATATATATATATATATATATATATATATATTCTTTTTTCCCAATCATTTAGTAAAAAATTAACCGCCTAATTAGAATAGGGAATATTAGATGCAACTTTGACTTTTAACCCATACATGCAACTTGAATTGACTCCATTGATTATTGTGAAATACAAAAACCCTCTCGAGAAAGAAGTGAATTTGAAGTTTAAGAGCCCAGAAATGGAGGACCAATAGATTTTAACTCTAGAAGCTACTGTCCGTAGAGCGCGTGAGAGCACTTTTCAACACCAATAAATTGAGCTATAAAGCACACAATACAAGATCAAGTTACTTGAGTTCAATCACCAATGTGATGTATTCTTCTCCAATATCCAATTGACTTTCAGGCATACATACGAATGAAAATACGAAGAAATATGGAACGTAGTCTAATTAGTAGGAACCGGTATAATTGTGTTTAAATTTTTAATGGTTTAATTGGTAGAATGCTTAACGTCCCAAATAAGTGTGTCTGTACTTGAGTCTCCTTTCTCCTTAGTTTGTCAATATAAAATCATAATCCGTCCGAAATGCAATCATCAAAAAAAAAAAAAAAAATGTATATAATATACTGTACACAGTAGACTTGGCCTGTAGTTATTTTTCAGATAGTATTGGAAAAAAAAATTAATTGTTTGATGGTCCGGATTAAAGTAAACAAAATGCGGCTCACTATCCATTGGCTTTGTATCTAACAATATTTTGTGGACTGAATTCTTTTTGATACTTTTTAACCATTTGGTTCAGAGTCTCAAAGACTCAAACACCCATATTTTTGTAATTAAAATTTTGTAGTAGTTTTTATAGCTGTTTCACATTTTTATTTCAATAGGTAAAATAAGAAGGTGGATGATGGAAAATTTGTGAAGTGGTTAAATTTCTAACCCCACAGGGTATATAAGGCGGCTTAAAGTCTTGGACTTCAATTGTTAGGCCAGTGCATAATTTTTGAAAGCCATTAAACCACAACTTATTGGTACAGTATTATTTAGTGAAAAGTAAATGTGCAAATTATGAAATCAAACTAATTTTTGCTACATTCAATCTGTTAAATAAAATTCATTCAATGCTCCCTCTTGGCAACGCTAAACTTTGCCATCATGGCATGAAACAATTATCACTGCGGCCATTTGATGGAATTATTTCTTTTTTATTTCATGAAGTGTTTATTTTTTATTTTTTATTTTTTATTTTTTGGCATAACACAAGATTCAATCTGAAACGTCTAGCCATAGAATAAGTGACTTCGGCTTGGACTTAAAATGCTTGAAAAAAAAAAGGTAAAATGGGGGAAGCATGTGAGACAAAATTACAAAGGAAAAGAGCCCATGTCTGTAAATTATAACACGCTCCATGTTCTTAGGGGATGAGCTTGCATCATGATTTCTGTTTGCAGATTTCAATGAAATGTGAAAAAAGCCATGCATCATATAAATGAGAGTAGAAGGATAGAATTTTTTTTCCTTAGAATACGTGTATCGGCTTCATAATACACGTTTCATTCAAGTCAAGAGTGCTATTCCTAAGCGAGATCTTAATGACTTATTTTTCGAATATCTGTCAACGCCGATATGTTCCGAGGGAGACTAGAAGAATAAATAAATATTCAAAAAATAGACGAAAATGATAGCATGAATGTGGTCAAATATAACGTTGTGTACTAGTAAGAGGATAAAATTAAAAATGTATTATTGAGTTTGTGGGACTTAAATATGTAAGGAGATAAAATTAGATAAATTGACTAAGATAATTTGGTCACATAAGACAAAAAATAGTTGTTAGATCAATTAATAAGTGTAACATTATTCCCATAGAAGTTAATTAGGAGAAGGAAATATTAAAATTGATTTTAAGTGACGCAGTAAAACAAATATGATAATATGTGATGATAAGAATTAAGAGGATTCAATTTAGAGTAATTTTTCTTTTTTCTTTTTTTTTTTTTCGTGAACATTTTGGTGAAGTAAAAGGGTAATTAGATAAATTGACTAAGATAATTTGATCTCATAAGACAAAAAATAGTTGTTAGATCAATTAATAAGTGTAATATTATTCCCATTGAAGTTAATTAGGAGAAGGAAATATCAAAATTGATTTTAAGTGACGCAGTAAAACAAATACGGAGTATGATAATATGTGATGACAAGAATTAAGGGGATTCAATTTAGAGTAATTTTTCTTTTTCCTCATTTTTTTTTTTTTTTTTTCTTGAACATTCTGGTGAAGTAAAAAGGTCCAAACTTCTCTGTATCTTGGCTATATAACTTCATCTCGACCCATCTATTGGCTTCCCCTTTCCCTCCCCTCCATGTCTCTCTCTCTCTCTGGGTTTCCTTTGCTTTTTCAGCACCAACATAATCTCTTCCCTTCACTAACCTCCTTTCCATTCATCCCAAATGCCATCATAATCAGCCCCACACTTGATTCTTTCCACACAAGTTACTCCTCTGTTTCCTCTGTTTGTTACACCTTCTTGATCTCTCTCTCTCCTCTCCTCATCATCATCATCATCCTGAACAATCAAGAACCTCAAATTCTCTTATAATTCATACTCATCCCCGTGAATTCTTATCTTGGTCCCCTTATTTCTCTCATTTCACACGCTCTTCTATCTTTAGTCCTTCAAATTCAACATGGATAGACAATTCTTTCTCAATGCCGGAGTTCCACTCCCATTACACTTCGACCCATCGCTGACACCCACCTGTCAAACTCCTTATTTGGCCCCTGAACTGAATTGCTCGTCGGAGCAATCTTCCGATTACATTTTTTTCAATCCCAGTTGGGACAAGTCAATGGACCAGTACACTGACTTCGAGTCAGCCCTCAATTCAATGGTCTCATCACCAGCTACCTCCAATTCAGCCATGTCAAATGACACTTTCGCAATCCGTGAACTGATCGGAAAACTGGGCAACATTTGCCCCACCGGCGACATCTTGCCGCAGTCTCAGCCGTTGCCGGCTTACGTTGGTGGTTCAACTTCAAATAACAGCACTAACACTTCATCTTATAATACACCTCTGACTTCACCTCCAAAGTCAAATTTGCCAATTATGAATCAATTTGTCAAAGAAAGCATATCAAATTTGGGAAGCTCAATGCCAATTCCGAATCCCACTTTGCCGGAAGTCTCGGTCGATCATGGTTTCGCGGAGAGGGCTGCAAAGTTTTCATGCTTCGGCAGTAGCAGTTTCAATGGTCGAATGAGCCAATTTGGGTTGAATAGTAGTGAATTCTCATATGGTAGATTAAGCCCATTAATGGGAGGAGCTAAGTTGCCCAAAGTTACTAGCAGTCCTTCTCTCAAGGCAGTTGGCTCCCCAGTGGGTGTTCAGGAAAACAAGAATTGTGCACAAACCCATATGGAAATTCTGTCTGACAAGAAATTCAGCAAAATTTCAGCTTCTGCTGCATCAGATCGAACTGAATTTGCCGGAACTGAATTCCCCGGTTCTAATGAGGACTCCCCTGTTTCTGAACATATCCCAAGAGGGGAAACTGGATTGAGAACTCCAGCTGATTCCAATTCTAGGAAAAGAAAAGTGGTTTCAAGAGGAAAATCCAAGGACACTGCAGAATCCCAGCCTGCAAATGCCAATGCCAATGCCAATGCCACCAAGGTATATGACACAAAGTCAAAGTGATCCTAATTTTCGTTTTTAAATTCATTTGAGAATCTGATAAATGCGGGAAATTTTCCATTTCAGGTATGTGAAGTGGAGGATGATTTGAATTCAAAGCGATCAAAAATGACGGAGGGTAATGGCAATGGAAATGGAAATGGTGGTGTTAAAACAGAGGAGAGTAGTGATAGTGCAGGGGATGAAAGAAAGAAACGAGCCAAGAGCAACCCAAAGCCTCCTGAGCCTCCAAAGGACTACATTCATGTAAGAGCGAGAAGGGGTCAAGCCACTGACAGCCACAGTCTTGCCGAAAGAGTAAGAACCACAATTCCATTCTCTCTCGTTATTCATAACATCCCACCACGGCAAGTTTTAACATTTTTTAGGATTGCCATTTTGGGTATTTGGCCAGGTTCGAAGGGAGAAGATCAGTGAACGAATGAAGCTTCTCCAAGACCTTGTACCGGGCTGCAATAAGGTGTGAAAATTTGGTAATTTTGAAATATTGATCATACATAAGCTCTCAAGTAAGATTAGATCAATGAGGGGTCCATTACTAACTTGGCCATGGAAACTGAAATTGCAGGTAACAGGGAAAACACTAATGCTGGAAGAAATTATAAAGTATGTACAGTCATTGCAACGACAAGTTGAGGTAAATTAACAATAATCAACTGCTGTCATAATGCAGAAGATGGTGATCACAAATTCTACTTTCGTTGATTAATAATTGGTATTTAAATTTTTTTGCAGTTCTTGGCTATGAAGTTAGCTTCAGTGAATCTAAGGATGGACACTGAAATGGATAGCCTCCTTCCTAATGATGTAAGTTCATAAAATTTCACAAAAATGGCTTTCTATAGCTACTATGATTTTTTCTGAAATTGGGTTGCTGGGACCATTCCAAATGACAGATATTTCAGCCAAATGGTTCCTCGACGCAGCCAATATATCCATTAGGTACCCGAGCATCATCGCCTTTCTATGGCCACCAGCATCCCCAGCAAAGCCGACCACAAGTACATATCAGTGTTTCCAATGGGGTAGTGACGCCATGCTCAGTGGACCCATTTAACACCACATTATGCCGAAACATAGGCATGCAATTGACTCCAGTTGATGAATTTGGCCAAAGTCTTCCACAGGTAACTAATTTTTCACTACTAACTCAACAATAAACTTATAATTTCTACAAACACTTAGAAGTATATCATCTTTTTTCGTTATCTAATTCTACCTTTCAATTGATTATCTCCAGGTTCCTGCATTCTCTGAAGATGGCCTGCAAAACATTTTTGAGATGGGTTTTGGCCAGGACCAAAACCATGATTCAGTATTTCATTCACAAAGCTTTCATGGTGAGGAAGATACTATTTTGAAGAGATTCAGTGTCATCTTTAGGAACTTAGACACTAATATTAAGTCATGACTTATACTATAATCTGTTCCATGCAGGCTCAAATCAAACATCCCCGTGAAAATTGAGGCTCTGATCACCGTCCATTTATCCTTAATTCAAGGTCCAGAGGAAGAGACAGTCTGCTGTATATAGAGGGAGATTTTAGTTATGAGTATTGTATGCATTGCTAATCCATCTTTAGGTCGAATCAAGGGAGCAATTCTTCTGGTATATCATTTTTATTTTACTTTTTGTCAATCATTTTGTCTTCCTCCTTTCTTTTGGGTGAGTTTTCTTATTAGTATCCAATGTATAATCCTAGAAACAATTCTATATATTAGTGCATTGTCCAATACACCACATTAAGCTATATTTCCACTAGAAAATGAGAAACGAAAATTCCATGAACTTTCAGTTTCCGAACCAATGGACACGGTTACAAATTATAAAAATAACATAATTTTGGCTGTTTTATTATTATTATTATGGTCCTATCATTTGTTCAATGTTGCATTTTGGCAGGTTTGATTTTAACATGTTGTAACCAGCTGTGTGATTGGACTCGTATGCTGTCTTATTGTCTAACATGAATGATTAAGACATGGATTAGCTAGTTTGAGCTGGAGCCGACCATTGCTCCTGTAATTTTCATAAATTAACCATAAAGAGAAGTTTCTATTCTCTTTTTCACTGTGCACAGAAAGAAACAATGAAACACAGGTAATGTATATACACAGGTTTGATGATCCAAAAAGACCATAAAAAAACATGTTATATTGGGTTTGGTAATTTTCTGACTAGACACAGTGAATCAGAGGGCTTTAGCATTTAAAATATTGTGAATAGGGAAGGTTATTCTAGTGGAGTTCAGGCATGGAAAGATACCCTTGGATATAGTTTAATCATGTCATCGAGAGGTGGTTAGGAAAAATCCAGTTTTTGGGGGTTTAACAAACGATTTTTTAGTTGCGGCTTTATCTTTTTTATAATTGGGAGTTGTATTATTGGTCTCTAGACTAGCGTGATTAAATTATCCCAAAGATTCTTTGAAAATGATATAATCATCACAGAAGAGTTAAACGACAAATTATAATATCGGAAAGGTTCGGTGGTAGATTGTCACCAAAAAGTTAAAAAACACACCAATCATATCATGAAATATAGGATTATAAATTTCTCATCTTATTGTAATAACTCGGCTGTTCTGTTCAAGCCCTTAGGTGTTTTTCACTGGATTGAGTCCCCTAATGTTTTATGGTTGCAAGGGGAGCTGCACTTGACAGGAGCTTAGAAAATGCTAGTGTAGTTTTGTTTTTTACATCTATGGGATTAAAAAAAAAAAAAAAAAAATCATTATTTTATTTATTTATGAATGTTATTATAACCATAGAGTGGTTTTTCTGGGGGCAGGTTTGTCCTAGTCTATTAGCATTTGTATGATCAGTATGCCCTATCAAGTTTATGACTAGGAAGCCTCTTCCAATACTTTAGTTTTGTTAAATCCGTCATATGTCTTCATTCAAAGCATGATATTGAAGTGTGTGCCTGTGCCCTAAAGTTTTAAAGAAAAAATAATTTATTCAAAAACTGTTGAAACTATTTTTGTGCCAACTGATAATCAATCACTATATATGTGCACTGAGAATTGAGACAGTAAATGAATAAGCTAGGTACTCCTATGTGCAAGGTGGTTCTTTATATGCAAAGTGGCGAGTGTAAAGTGAATGTAGAGTGATTTCAACAACATAATGTAATGAAATATTATAGGTTAATTAGGTAGTCGTCATCGATAGCGAAATGTCTCCATTAACAGTGGGAGATTTCCAGGTGAGTTGTCACATCTAATTCCTGAATTTCATGTCCTTTGAAGGACACACTTCAAGCCCCCGCAAATCAATTTGCTGCTAAAACGACAAGAAAATGAAGTCCTACCACGAAAGATCGAATCTGAAGGGGGATTTGGTGGGTTTATTAGGGTATAAATAAGAGTGATTTATTAGAGTGGGGGTGTCACATTAACCACATTGTCACTGTTGTAGTGCCCTTTCTTTCTTTTCAGGCTTCCACTTTGGGTCGGGGTATTTTCTATTGTAGGGGAGAAAAAACACAGGCATCATTTCTTTCACCAACATCAACACATCATGATCTCCAACTGTGAGCATTTGTGCTTTTCTGCAATTTGGAGGTTTTGTCCCAACACAAGCTATGCTATCTTTTCTACTAATAATTTTGTTTGGGACGCGCTTATCTGTGTCACCATTACGCATTATTTCTTTGTTGGATGTATGAAATATTTATCATTTTTGGAGCTGCTGACGTAAGTGGAAGTGATAAATTTGTGAAGTCCAATTGTGGGACAAAATGCACCTGCAGCCAGGTGAAATTCAACAGTGAGGGGAAAATGCAAATGTCAGCATTGCCAAATGCATATAAAGTATAGGGAAAATTGTAAGAAATATATATATATATATATATAAAATCAACTTTCATAATTTTGTAGATTACTCCCTCAACTTTCGTTTTTGCACATAACCCCCTTAAAATGTTAAGAAATGATGCAAATTACTCCATGCTGTTTGTGGACTGCTATGGAATGGACGGAATAGTACAGAGATGGCAAAATACTCCATGCCGTTTGGGATTCTGGAAGTAAAACCTTCCTTAAGATGCATTTAAATCCTCAATATAGTCAGCACATAAATAGATTTTCATAAGTTATTTTGATTGTATTATTGAACCGCATGTTGTTTCACAAGTAACACTTATGCTATGTTCGGTTGGAGAGAAAGATTGAGTAGGGATGGATGAGAGGGGGATGAATTAACTTTCCGTTGGAGGGAAGGGAATAGTGGGAGGAACCTTTGTATTTTTTTATTCCCCCAAAATTGAGAGGAAGAGGATAGAGAAAGAAGTAATAACTAACACAAATATAGATTTTTCATTTCTAACCTTTTTAAAAAATTGGGATAGATATATAATTTTTAAATAATGAGGTGTGGAGGGAAAAAATCCCCTCCAATGAGAATAATCCTCGTCATCATAAATATAAACATATCCTTGATAAGTTTATAAAGCCCACCTCGCTCAAACCCAAATTGAGTTTGATACTAGTCCAAGATCATTGTTCACAAGCCCAATACTATTGTTATATGACCTTCAGCCCTGTTGAAGCCCGAATTAAGAGATTATCAGCCCAACATGTTAATATTTAACATTCGGTCCGTTACTCAAGCCCAGCCGGATCAAAGTATGTTCAGCACAGTTACTCAAGAATACACAAGTCCTACCAGTTGAAGGATTTACCGTAGAAGGAAAATTCTGAGATAGGAAATTCTGTACAAGGCAAGTTCTATGTATGGAAAATTAGACAATGGAAAGAACTCTATTAGTAAAGAATGTTTATATAGAAAGAATTAGAGGACAAGCAACGCGAGTCCTACTATAAATTTACAATCTTTTGTATATAAATAGAGGTTTAGACCTCCAATAAAGGGATCAAGCAATTTACGCTTCTCTATACACTGTTCTTATTTATTTTTATTGTTTTTTGAGTGAGTTGTTTTATTTTTCTCAATCATTATTGGTTGAGCGAAATTTTGCACCTACAGAGGGCATATTAATAAAACGAATATAAAAACCCTCTTTCCCTTTCTTTCAATCAAAAAAAATGTGTAACCCCATCCATCATCTCTAAGTACCCATTCCATTCAACCAAATAAAAGGTGAGAGAGTCACTTTTGTCTCATACATCCCTTCCATCTATTTTTTTCATCCCTCCAACCAAACGAAATATTACAATTACAAAATTTGCCTCTATTTCACACGGCCTTAACATGCTTCTAGGGATATTTAGGAACATTATAGATTATGCAAAAAGTGATTTTCAACCCGCCATTCTTATCAAACATTATTGAAACTTAAGAGATATTTTATTCAATTTTTTAAAGATAGTTCCCAAGAACTCATTGGAACAAAAAAAATTTTAAGGTAACTATAAAAGATTATTTCATGAATTTTTTTTTTTAATTAAGTAATTGAAAAATAGTTTTTAGAAACGGCTAAAAAAAAAAAAAGATTTGTACAATTTTTAATTTTTAATTGTTTGAAAATACACCATCAAATGTTGTAACCTAGTGATCTCTTCACTACCGTCCAAAGATGTGATAATGATTCAAGTCTTCCTGTAACAAAATGACAAATGGTTACTTCATACTGGAGTTTCTTGCCAATGAAAAAAAAAATAAAAAATTAAAAAATAAAAATAAAATTATCTGAAAAAATATACTACCTCCGGTCCTCCGTCCAAAATAGATGTCCATCATGAAAATTGTGATATATTTTTTAAATACTGAACCAAAAATGCCCTTAAGAATATACAACTGGTTAATTTGGATTTGGGAATTGGGCTAATAAACGATGATCAATCATTGGACCTGAAGTTGGGTTTTGGGTAGTTCCATTAAATTATGTTTAAGATCGAATGAGCCGATGTCTGAATACCCTCGTTGAAATCGGGCAAAGCCCAGGTTATGTGCCCACCTAGTGTTTGAGTGTACTTTGGCTGGCTTTAAGGCCCAAGAGCATATCTAGTCATATAATTTTTTTATAATGCATTTTTAATAATAAATTTATCTTTTTTCTAATTTTATTTTTTTAACTTCTCTTTCTAATTCGTTCCTTTTTTTTTTTTTTTTCCTCTCTCTAATTGTATCATCTTCCTAACTCTTCCTATCCATATTATGCAATTTACTCTAAAAAATAAAATAAAATAATTATTCTTATTTTTATAATGCACAACACAAACTTATTCTATATATATATATATATATATATTTGATTCTCTTCTCTTTCTAACTCTTTGACTTTTTTTCTTTTTTTTTTTTAAATTATTTTCCCTGGCTATTCTTATACACATTATACAATTTACTCTTAAATATAAAACTAAAAATAATATTATAATTCCTTATTAGGACAAATAATAAATTATGGCAAACCATGATATAATAATATTATAATTTTTATGCTAAATATATAGATGTGATCATGTGACTGTAGGACATAAAAAGAAATAAGGCTTTGATTAGGTGGGTTACCGCTTAAAAGACATAAACATGATGCTCCACAACACCGCATAATAAATAGGTTAGTCAATTCTAAACATTAGATTGGCTGCGTTTGGTTTTACAAGATTAAATTTTATAAATTGTATATATATTTATATTTTATTTTATACATAATACAATAATAAAATTAGTCTTTGAACCTCCCAACTATATATCATAATATATAATAAAAAATAATATTATATATTATATATTAGATTGAATTATAAAAAAAGTCTAGAACCATGTAATCGAATTGAACCAAATCGTTCTCTCATAGTTTGGTCTTAAACTTTTTAAAACCGTTGAAAACGGTTTGATTTGATTTTTAGATTTTCTATACCAGCTGCCTTTAAAGTTATTCATTACTTAATTTGATTTGAGTTGAACATTGTATTAGTTTGTAACTGGAGCAATACTATAATATATGAGAAATTTGTAACACCTAATCCATATATAATCATTTACTTTTTCATTTGCATCCAATGTAAGACACTTGTAACAATTGCCTTACATCAACTAATTTTTTTGGTCACGAAAACAATTCCTACTCTATTATTCTGACCTGCAGAAAGCCACAACCTAGATGCAGAGTGAACAATTTCAAGCAGAGGATATCCTCCACTTCAAGTAAATTAAACAAGTGAACTGTTAACATTATCCAAAATGATATACCCATAAATATTAGTTACAAAATCTCCAAACCTTTTTCACTCTTTGCAGAAGAAACTGCTACTAATTGATAGATACTTCATCCCCAAAACTTTGCATTGCATTTTTTTTTTTTAAAATTTTTTTTTTTGTCACAATGTCTTCAAAATAGGGGTCATACGACAATATTGTTTTTAATAACATGATATAATTAGCGGTGACCCATATTGTTAATGATAATAAATATATGGAATTCTCAATACAATGATTTGAGTTAAACCAAACATATACTGTAACACCAAAAATATGAACGAAAGTCACGCAATAGGCACCGTTTTCTCTTTCCATCCATATTACCTAAAATGGTCCCTTTTGTCAATTCTGAATTGGATTTTGGTTTAAAATCAGTGAAAATAATGGAAAATATCGTACTTGCTGCTGTGCGTTACCAAATATGAATATCCCCGTGATTAGCCGGTAGGGTCTTGGGATGAATAGCTTGCCACACGTGTCCTGCTCTAATAATCTTATATTAAACATGCATATGTACTTATACTACTATACGTACATTAAGAAAGAGCAAAACTCCGCTAAATTTGGTGGTGTCTTAACTAAATTTAGCTCAACCTCAGCCCTCTCTGCTTTGTGGCTTCTTCCCCCAACTCCGGATCACATAGAGAAGAGACAGAAAGAGGAGAGAGAGAGAGAGAGAGAGAGAGAGAGACTGCCATGGTTCACTGAGAAGAAACCAAAGACACAGAAAGAGATCTTCTTCTACACATTTCATTCATCCTCTATATGTCTCGACCACCAAACCATGAATTCCAAGAATGGTGGAACAAGCACAGAGACAAGCACAGCGACCTCTTCCTCGACAAATCTGAAAACCCTAGCTGGTTAACGGTCGAGATCCGCAGCCCCTCCGCCGATCTAACGGTCGAGAAAGGCCGAACTCGAAGCGCTCGTCAGCTCTCTTGGGTATGGCTCTTGAAATTCCAGCAAATCGCCAATTATTTCGCCTATTTCACCAACGGCTTCGTCTCCGTACTCCGAATCGCTAATCGCCGAATCACTTCCTCCGAATCCTATTCGTCACGCTCCGAATCCAGATTGTATCGAGTGATTAAAGTGTTCTTGATCGTTGTAGTGTTGTTACTAGTGTTCGAGCTCGTCGCCTACTTCAGAGGATGGCATTTCAGTCCACCGTCGGTGGGGTCGTTGGAGGTGTTGGATTTTCTGGAGCTTGTGTATGCCAATTGGCTTCAAATTAGGGCGAATTATTTAGCGCCACCGTTACAGTGTCTCATCAATATGTGCATTGTTTTGTTCTTGATACAGTCCGTGGATCGCATTATATTAGTGCTTGGATGTTTCTGGATCAAGTTACGGAAATTGAAGCCCGTTACGCTAATGGAATATTCAGAGGGTTTGGAGAACGAGGATGTGGAGGATTTTCCGATGGTGTTGGTGCAGATCCCCATGTGCAATGAGAGGGAGGTAAGAAGATGTAGGTTCCGAATCCCTACTGTACAAGTTTTGGTTAATTTAGCGATTTGCTTCAACTGCAATTGCAAGTAAATTTCAACTGTGATTTAGGTCATTTTTGTTTCATGTTTGAAGCTTTAGCTTATATGTATATATATATTTTTTCATAGACAAATTCATGCTGTTACATTGGTAATGCCAACTGTTGAAAAGGGCATGTAGTACATTATTTTAGTGTAAACTGTTTTCTTATGGGCTTGTCTTTCATATTGATCCTTTTTGCTGAATGCTGCCTCATAAAGGTAATGCACTCTTAGACAATACTTTCAAATTTTATAGATTATACTGCTATGCTACTTGTGAGATTGAAGTCTATGGGTGAAATTATTAAATGCTATTGTTGAAGCTTAACATAAAGTTGATATTTTGTAATTTTCAGTTGTATTTCTGATGTTTCTTTGGGAAATTTGTAACCCCTCAAGACACTGCCATTAAAAGTGGATCAAATTATACTTTTCTAGAACTCTTGAACCTCGAGTGATAAGGAAGATTATATACTCGTTCGTTTTAGATTTTTGTGGGGGAAAAATTCCATTTAATAAAATAAAAAAGGAGATGCGCTGTTCAGTTTCAATTGCATATTTACATGGTTGTGGTTGTGGTAGTTCATTGATATAAAATATTGTTGTGGTGCATGTATACAAATTTGCAATTATAATGCTGTGACTTATTAAATTGCCACATTCTACAATTTGTTGGATTTCTGTGACAATTGTATAAGCTTGTTAGTGCTTTACCAAATTTATTCTAATATGGAAATTTCATCTTGATGGTTTCAATTTAAAACTTCGCCATTAGAATTGTCTTGGAGTTCCATATACGCTAAAATAAAAATTATGTTTGTGTGTGTGACAGTGAGATTTTGCCACCTGAAAAATCTTGAGATTATTTCATGTACAAGGGTGGCATGTTAATAAGCAAGTTTACTTGCTCATTTCATTTTGGAAGAAAAATAAATGAATGAATCATAAAAGTAAGACTTATAAAAAAATAAAAATAAAAAGAAAGATTAGAAGTAAGAAAAATGGTGAGCCATTCTAAATGTGCGGTTGGATTAAAGCACAGGCTTGATCCATAATCATTGAGGAGGACGTGACTCATGCATAGAAGGTAGTCATGACCTTTGTGATTGGAGATCTCATTAAGGAGGTTGGATAGGTAAGAATGAAATTGTATGGTGGTAAGGAAAGCGCTAAGCATTTTTATGATATTCCCTAGTGATGGAGATCCTGATGAGCCACGAGGACTATTTACTTTATTATAGGCTTAGATACCTTTTGATGATTTTTGACTATTGATTTACATATATTACAAAGATTTTCTTCCCCTCTATTTCTCTCTCTCTATTTTCTATTCCTCTTCTATTCTATCTTCCGTTCTGCATCACCTAGTCCCATTTATTTGGTTTAAGTGCTGATAAAAATGATGGGTTTAGTAAGTAGTGCTCATAAAAATTAAGATTTTCGTAAGGTTTCGCTTTAAGATTGGAATTTTGGAAGTACTGGTCACGTATCACATTGGAGGAATCACCTAGTCAGATCGCTACTGTGGGATTTTGAGCTAATCCCTTGAAACATTCCTGAAACGCAGTATGTGCAAGTAACCGTAAAGCTTAAGACCGAATATTTCTGGCTATTTGTTAATACTTGTGTGGTAAGCAGCGACTAACTAAAGGACCTAGTTCAAGATTTTGTCACAGTAGTCCCTTAAGAAAAAGTGTAGGTTTTCAAGCTCGAAACACACCTACACCCATTGCACCCTAAAAAATGCTCACCTTGTTATTATAAAATCATGTGAGGGATTGTAAGATGTAATATAAATTTATTTCTTTGTTATTTTTATTTGATTAGCTTATAGTTTAATTTTGTGACTCACATGTTATTTTAGTTGTTTTCTAATCCGTGCCAGTATATGTGTTTGTGGGAGAGTGGGGAGTGTTGTAACTGTTGGAGCACTCTCAGGCCCACAACCCTATTTCTGATTGATTCTCAGTGATATTGCTCAGATGTAATGCTTAGTTGACTTGAGTTGCGCATTTTCTAAGTATTGAAACAACTGAAATTTGAACCCTTTTTTTTTTTTTTTTTTTTTTTTTTTTTTCGTCTTTCTCTCCCAATGCATTATGGGAAACCATTTTGAGCAATCAAGAATTACTTTAGCATATTATTCTATTTCAGCCTTTTCTTAAAAGCATGCAACTTGTGCAGTCTCTCCCTCCCTCTGGATTTCACATTGCTGTATGGGTCCGAGATTTTTTTTTTTACTTGAGTTATACGGGGTCTGAGTTTCCTTCTCAGTAACTCTATATTTCTTCACTGGGTTGGGACACAGGTTTATCAGCAATCCATTGCAGCATTATGTATCCAAGACTGGCCAAGGGAGAGGATGCTTGTACAAGTTCTAGATGATTCTGATGATATAGATCTTCAACTCCTTATCAAGGCAGAAGTTCAGAAATGGCAACAAAGGGGTGTGCGGATATTGTATAGGCATCGTCTTATCCGGACAGGCTATAAAGCGGGGAATCTCAAATCTGCAATGAGTTGCGATTATGTTAAAGATTATGAGTTTGTGGCCATATTTGATGCGGATTTTCAACCGGGACCAGATTTCTTGAAGAAAACTATTCCCTATTTCAAGGTAATTTTTTTTATACAATTTATATGGAGATCATTGGTCTGAGCATGTCTTACAATCAAAGCTTAGGCTCAAAAGCAGTATTGTAGGGAGCTTTAGATCACCAGGTTTCATAAGTATGTTGATATCGTATATAGATATGTTTTTGCTTATGTGCAAACTTTCTCAAAGAACGAATTATCGATATGGTGTGATTCCTGTCCATCCAATGTTAACACATTGTTGGACTTGCCACCATGGTAATGTAAGCTTTTAATACAACAATTAATTTATGCCAGCCAGATTAATAGATTCTGGTGCATATAACGTGGATGGGTTAGGCAAAGGGACCACTATAAATCCAAGGGAAAGACGTGGCCCTAAAGTGTCCAGTGATCTTCTTGAACATCTTTTAGGATGTTGCCAATATATCAGTGACGTCATAATCACATTTGTTGCATGTTAGAGACCCATATGTCTTGTTGTTACAATCTTGTTTTTCCCTATCTTGTTACAATTGTATGTGACTTCTCATAGGTGATCTACTCCATTTGATCCTCAATGGAAGCTTTTCTCAATCCAGTGCATATATGCATATTTTACAATGATTTCTAGCTGTGACCTGTGGTGGTTTAGTTGAAACCTTTTGGCGTGATTATGTTATTACAAATAGTATGATTTAAGAAAAACTCGTACTTAATGAGTAGGTGTTTCATAGACAGAAGTACATGAACTATATTTTGATATTTGTATGAGATAATGTAATATAGAGCTCTTATTTCTTTTGTCATCATTATTTGCCCACTAGTTCTGTTTTCTTTGGACATGGCTTTAATGATGTCCATCTATATGGTTGGCCTTATTTATTTTCCTACTTAAAAGGCTGTTGCCTAGTGTTGGTCCTCTTTATGCGGAATATTGGGAGGAGTGGAATGTAGAAGACCTAACATTTGGCATTATTTTGCACCTTGTGAGGTCTAAACCGATTTTCTTGTATGGCACTCAAATCTTATATTATTGAATGCTTTTGTTGAGTCAGTTAAACAATGAGCCCATTAAACCATATATGGATCTTTACACCCACGAATAGGGGTGGATCCTTACTTGCGGGGGCTGACTTAGTAGTATGAAAATAAAACTACAACAACAATCAAGCCTTTTCCCATTTACTTGGGATCGGCTACATGAATCCCATGTTTCCATTCTGCTCTATTTAAGGGCATAGTTCAATCCACATGCTATCATATCTTCTTTACCAAGTCTACCTACATTAACTTTGGTCTTCCTCTTTCCCTAGTTACCCTTAATGTGGACAATGTCACTTTTCCTAACCAACGCCCTTAAAAGATCATCTTTGCTCACTGATTTTGTCACATTTTATCTCCAATTGGCGCTCTACTCCAACCATCTCTCGAATGTGATCATTTCTAATTCTGTCCTTTTTGGTCTTACTGCACACCCACCTCAAAATTCGCATTGTGCCACACTTTATGCAAATATTGTTTCCTAGCTGCCCAACATTCAGTACAATAAAGTAGGTCTGGTCTAATAGTTGTTTGATAGAACTCCCCTTTCAATCATAAGGGTATACGCCTATCACACAATCTACTAGATGCGCTCCTCCATTTAACCCACCCTGACTTGATTCTTTGATTAATGCCATCTTCAATTTCTCCCTCATTATGAATAATTGAGCCTAGATGACGAAAATGTTCACTTTTTTGTACCTCTTGATTCTCAATCCCCACTACATCCTCATTTGTCTTTCTAGATTTACTAAAGTTACACTCCATATATTCAGTTTTATTTCGACTTATCTTAAACAATTAGTAGTATGAAAATGAATTAAAAAAATTTATACTATAATTTTTTCTTTATAATAGAGTTTTGGAAAGTAGATCTAAATAAGTTTATTTATTTATTATTTTTTTTAATAATAAATTGAGAGTATTCACAAATCACAAAGTGCATAAAATTAGGAAAACAATAGGGATAGGTGCAATATATGGAATTTTTGAACATTCCTTTAAGTTTGGACTAACTAAAAGTAAAAACCTAAAAGACTCAAATTTAGTTTCTTTATAAGCTTCGGAGGGCCACATGTTTTGTTGGAAATTAAACCCCTTCCTTTGGCACAGCGGAGTCATGACACAAACAAGCACACATAATAATACAATATTTTACGTGGTTCGGCCGAACTCAACTTACGTCCACGGAGAGAAGAATTTCATTATAATGAATCAAGAAGAGAATATACAACTGTAGAGAATGCTCACTCACTCACTGCCTCATGAGAAATTACACCGTGTACATACTCTCTTTGCTCAAGGTATGGCGTTGAATACTTGAGCCTTTCATGGTCTACCACTCCTCAACATCGGGGGTATAGAGTTTCTAACTGTAGCTTGGTGAACAAGTAATACAAATCCTTATTTGGCAATGACAGCAACTACTTGGGGCTTAATTACTTTGGACCCAAGTCTATCTACACGTTCCCAAACCAATACAACCCAATAAGAATTGAGACATACAATTGTTAGTGTTTTGAAATTCACTATTTATAGGCAACATATATTTTAGATACCTATAAAATCTTGGAGGGGCCATGCCCCCCTCTCTGCCCCTGCTCATGAAGACGTGCATATAGAGATATAGATTCAGTTTCTTAAACCAACTCAAAAATTGGGTCCTTTGGGTTTTATGGAAAGACCATTTAGTTAACGTGAGAAAATAGATGTTAAGTGATTTACTAATCCTTTTTTGTTCCTGGGACTAATTGTTTATTCCACCTTTTGAAGGGACAAGGCGAACTAGCATTGGTCCAAACAAGGTGGAGCTTTGTGAACAAGGATGAGAACTTGCTTACAAGATTGCAGAACATAAACTTATCCTTCCACTTTGAGGTCGAACAGCAAGTTAATGGAATGTTTATCAACTTTTTTGGTTTTAATGGTACTGCTGGTGTTTGGAGAATCAAGGCCCTTCAGGAATGTGGTGGCTGGTTGGAACGAACAGCTGTTGAGGACATGGATATTGCTGTCCGTGCTCACCTTTGTGGATGGAAGTTCATATATCTGAATGATGTTAAGGTTCATAATATATTAATATTTGGATTTTTTTCTCCACGCATTTGAGATATTAGGTTAAGGTTGCATTGACACTGCTTCTTTTTTTGCAGTGCCTTTGTGAACTCCCTGAGTCGTATGAAGCATATAAGAAGCAGCAACATCGCTGGCATTCAGGTCCAATGCAATTGTTTCGCTTGTGCTTTGTTGACATACTTCGTTCAAAGGTTTGGAAGTTCCATTTGATTTTCATTTATCTTGCAAGTTCTCGATGTAAAAAATCTGACGGAATTATTTACTAAATTTGTAAGTAATTCAGCCTTATTTTAAATAAGGGTTATTTGGTCAACTTAAGTATAACCTTAATTGCTGTTCTGTGGTAATAAATAGATTCAAACAAGAAAATATGGGCACGTAGTAATGAAAAGAAAATGAGCAAGGGGAACTAGAGAAAGACACTGAACTTTGACACTGCATTTCATGAGAACTTAGGCTTGTACATTCACCTTCTGTTGATTAGGAAAATAAATGAACAGGCAGAGAGAACAGATGTATTATTTTCCTGCATTTTCTTTCTTCAGTTTGGGGGTTGCATCGGAGGTTGTGGTTTCTTCGTTGGGTGCTTTCTATGGTTTAGGTTTTTACTCTGGCCCTCAAGCTGCTAGCAGTTCTTGAACTAGAAAATAATGGAGCAAGACAAGTAGTTGAATAAGTGTGTAAAAGTTGGCAGATGGTAAACATATTGCCACTTTAATTAAAGGTGATCAATTTCTTTTCTTTTTTCTTTTGCAAATTCTCAATGTAAAAACCTGAAGGAATTGTTAACTGAATTTGGAAGTAATTCAGCCTTATTGTAAATGTAAAAGAGAGTGAGGATAGGGTTATTTGGTCAACTCAAAATATAACCTTAATAAATAGATTCAACCTAGTAATGAAAAGAAAAGGAGCAATGGGATGTGGAGAAAGACACTGGACTTCAGACACAGCATTGCATGTGAGAACTTTGGCTATCAATATGTAGTTTTAACCATATAACTTTTACAGCCACCTTCTGTTCATTAAGAAAATAAATGAACTGCCAGAGTGAACAGAAGTAAATTTTTCCTGCCTTTTCTTTATTCAATTTAGGGGTTGCAGGGGAGATTATGGTTTCTTTCTTGGGTGCTTTCTATGATATAGGTTTCTACTCTATACCTTAAGCTGCTAGCAGTTTTTGATCTAGAAACTAGTGGCAGCAAGACAAGTAGTTGGATTAGTGTGTAAAAATTTGGCAGATAGTTAACATATTGCGACTTTAGCTGAAGGTAATGAATTTCCTTTCTTTATTTATTTTTTCATATTACATAATTATATAAGTTCTTGAATGGGTAAATTTGTTCAAATTTAGAGGACAATATTGAATTAAACATTAGTAAAAGATTGTTCAGTAATTGAAATGTTTACTAGATTTTTTGAGCTTTTGTTCTGTGAAAGCAAGAAAACTGGATGCACGCCCTCCCCATACACACACAGAACCAAGTAAAAAACACAGAACAAAGCCAAAGATCATCTCTCTTAAATAATTCCTGAGAATGAGTAATTTATTACTAAAACTTGTGGCCTTATGGCCATCAAATGATTTTGTTTCAACTATATTGTTGTAAAGTTTATTAATGTTCTTTTTCTTGTCATAACAGGTGAGTTTGGCCAAGAAAGTCAACCTTATATTTCTTTTCTTCCTCCTGCGGAAACTTATCTTGCCTTTTTATTCATTCACACTATTCTGCATTATTCTCCCTTTGACCATGTTCATGCCGGAAGCTGAGTTACCAGCTTGGGTAGTTTCTTATGTCCCTGGATTCATGTCCATCTTGAATATCATCCCAGCACCCCAGTCATTCCCATTTATCGTGCCCTACCTCCTATTTGAGAATACCATGTCTGTGACCAAATTTCATGCAATGATATCAGGGCTGTTCCGATTAAAAAGTTCTTATGAGTGGATAGTTACTAAAAAATTGGGCAGATCATCAGAGGCAGACCTAGTTGCGTTTGTGGAAAATGAATCTCAACCAGCGCAAGGTACCAGTCTCCACAGGTCCTCCTCAGAGTCGGGTCTTGCGGAGCTTAACAGATTAGAGTTGACCAAGACATCTGGAAAGACTAAAAGAAATCGTCTGTACAGGAAGGAACTTGCTCTTGCATTTATTTTGTTAACTGCCTCAGTGAGAAGCTTGTTGTCTGCTCAAGGAATTCACTTCTACTTCCTGTTGTTTCAAGGGATAACTTTCCTAGTTGTTGGTCTTGATTTGATAGGAGAGCAGGTTAGTTGACGTTCCAGTTACAAATTTCACACGGTTAAAAGATTTTTTCCACGGATTCAAGCCTGGGATGAAAAGTCACATTGAACCACAGCCTTGGGAACCATCTTCAGAGGTTCAATAATCAATCATAGCTGAAAATACATTTCTTGGCTGCCAACTAAAGCAGTTCATTTCCGATGTGTATGCTTATAATTGTAGTCTATGAGGAAAGGATTACGGTATCATTATTTGATGCCGAGTCATATAGCTGGAAAATTGATCTAAATTTGTCCAAGTCATGGAGATGGAGAGTTGTGAAACTGGCAGAGGGTGGTTTCTCTGTTCAGCCTGTTCATTTGTTGTAATGCCACTGTATACTTGCCTGTGCAGAAAATCGGGCATTGTTAGATTACTAAATTATTCTTTATTTTTGTCAAGGGCAGGTTGTGTACGATCACATATTTTGATCGGAAGTTTAATTGATGTTGCAACTCCTGGTGGTGCTTCTTCCGGTTAGTTATCTGCCACTATATATATATGCATCTTCTGAGAGGAGGTTAGCATTCACATTGTATAAAAGCTTGGTGTGATGGTTTGGTTCACCTCTTGCTGGCGTTTCTCAATCTGCCTGAGAACGTGGTTGCTTTTCTTGGATTCCTCAGTAGCACCTTCTCCCTCCTGCCAACATTTCCCGAAAAGGCCAAAACTATTATATTGGTTATTTTTTCCCCAACATTACTACAAAGAAACCAAAGACCTCTGGCTCAATGGTATAATCTCCCCATTCTCAAAAAGGAGGGGAGAGGTTCGAACCTCAGCGTGGGCATAAAAAGTGTGAGTACTTCCTTGACAAAAAATAAAAAAATAAAAAATAAAAAAAAAAAAATTATCACTAAAAAGAATTTGGTGAAACTTAAGTTTGCTTTCCTAAACAGTTTGGAATTTGGAAATCAAAAGCAGAAGCATCATAACAACCAATTTAAGCCGCTGAAAAGCAGCATGTCTCACAGAAAAGAGATTTAACTGTCATAATAATTATATCCCAGGATGATTGAACATGATTATTAATATATATATATATATGGTTATCTGGCAACCATTGCAAATTACTATTACATTATACAACTAACTAGGCCATTGGCCCAGATGGAATTAACTCCACACCAAATGTGAGGTGCGGGGTACAAGCCCCACATGGAGCAGGGCACTATGTGTTGCTTAACTACAAAAATAAATAAACAAACAAATAAATCGGCAAGCTTATACAATGAATAAGAATAATAGACAAGTGTATGAGTGAAAACGATTGTGGGTGAAACAAATTTGCTAAATGGGATAACAATCCGAGAGAGGCTAAATAGTGCACAAAATAAAATTAAATCAGCAAGCTTATACAATTAGTTGTGTAATAAAAGACAAGTGTCTGATTGTGGGTGAATTCTCACCTTAAGTAAAACAAATTTGCTAAATGGGATAATAATCTGGGAGAGGCTAAATAGTGCACAAAATCAAATTGATTCCCATAGAAGAACAATGTAAAATTGTGGAAATTCGAAAAAAATAGGTCTACAAGATCAATAGAGTAAAAAATGAACTCTAATGGAAAAAAGAAATATTTGTCATTCAGACCATTTCCATCCCAAATTAAGCGTCCTTATTTTTTAGTTGTCCCAATGTAAGTGTTCTTTTTGAAAGTCAAGAAAATAACCAAAAAAAAAAAAAAAACCCTCCCTAAACTATCCTTAAGTTTTGAAAATGTTCCTAAATTAAAAATGTATATCTATAAACTTCTAAAGGGTTAGTTTTGGAAAAAGAGCCGTGCCTTTTTCCTTGAAATTTTGGGGTACCTAAAAGGGAATCTATCTTGGGTCAGAGGGATGTTCGGTATCATTGAATTGCTGCCTTGATATTGGAATTGGAGAAAAATTAGTTCAAAGCTGGGTGGTGACTGTTATGTATCGGATATTGTAACAAGTGAGAAACGTCCTAATAATTTGACTAAGAAGTTCAGCCAATTGTGGATAACTCATTTGTGTGGATCGACCGCTTTGATTTTTGTTACAAGCCTCCCTCATCACCATCATATGAAGTTCCACTGATTTTCACACTACTTGGGTAGCATTGGGGAAAAATGTGTCAACAATTGAAAATCCACGAGTTGTATATATCAAACAGTGAACAGATTCATGTTTCTGAACTCATATATCCATTTCACACATCAAAAGTCAATTGCAAGAAAGACGAAATTTAAGGAGCAAATTATTAATCAAAGATAACAATACCTATCTAACGTAAAGAAATGTTGTCAGGAAACCAACAGCCAAGCAATATAATCACTAAGTGAAGATAATCATACTCCTTCAATTATACATATAGGGATTTCTTTTATTTAATAAAAAATCCAAAAAGAGACCAGTTAAGCTGCATACCAGGGAAGAAAATCAATTATATGAGCAGCCTCAATAAGTCAATCCACCTTCAATGGCAAATGGAGTTCCATATCAGTCAGTAAAGATGCCCACATAAATGAAGATGTGTTATTAAGTGGGTACCAACAGGCTTCTGGGAACTTGCCTCATTCATTACTAAATTGAGGAGGTCAACATTCTACGCAGATTTATCTTGTGGCAAGTATTTTTTTTTTCTTTTTTTTTTTTAAGAACCGTTCAACATGCTTTTAACAACTCTGTTATCAACCAACTGCAGTTTGTTATGTTTTCATAGAGTAAAAGTTTTACAATTTATGCATGCAAGAATCCATGTATGCCAATTATTTTATGCTTAAAGGTGTCAACATCGCTTTTAACTAAAACTCAATTCCAATTAACATTAGCAAAAAATAAAACATATTACATTATTTGCAATGGCGCACAACAATATAAAGGAACTATAATTCAAATGAGTGTCCACTAATCAAATGGTATTAATTATAAAATTAATAAACAAAAACAGATGTGATAAGAAATAAGGTGGTAAAACTCATCACCTCTGTACTTTCCTCCTTAGTCGTCCCTTTCTTCTTCCTACCAATGTCAACACCATATGAAGATACCACTGTTTAATGGGGCGGCATCCACCTGAACAATTGCACTCTTTACCAGAGTCTGCGTCCTAACAAGCATATTGTTCGAAGCATTGTGGACCACATCAGGGATACGAGTTTTACGGGTTACAGCTTCACTACCCCATGAATAGTTCCCCGTGTCCAATCTAAGGGCCCTCCACTTCACATTGCCACCTCGCACACGTACTCTCCTAACAGTCTTGTTGCTTGAGAGCTTAGTGTTTGCAGGCTGACGACCAAGTTCATACCTTTAATAAAAATAAATAAATAAAGTAAACAATTATATAGTATAATTCACAATAGACCTTACGACTTCACAAAGACCACCAGTTCTTTTTGCAAATATCATCCTATTATTGACCCCAAAGGAGGACACTATTAGCCACGCTAGCACTAAAAACCAACTATAAGGCTTATAAAGACATATTTCTGCTCTCTTTTCAGAGAGTTCGAATCACAATTAGTGCATATAGGCGCTTAAAGCAGAACCAAAACTCAACTTGTCAACAAGCACTTGGATTTGGCTTACCCCAAATTGAAATATAAAAATTAGTTAATTTTACACAATATCTCCAAGGATTAGATTTAATTCGTGGATGCCCATACAGAGAGAAGAGGAAACAATAAATCTCAATAGTGAGAAGACATATTCAGAATACCAGATCCAGCTATCATCTTCTTTTAATCATTTCCATGTCAACTGCCAATACCGGAAGATCAAGGACAGGTAATAGATATAAGAACTTCATGACGGGGAGAAGAATCATAAAACATAAACTGGTCCCCAGCAACAAAAAAAACGTAGCATTGCATCTCCTCAACATCAAATAATTCCATGGTAACTAAGAGAACATGGCTGCACACAAAACCACATTCTTGAATGAAAAATCCAGTGTTGGTCAATATAGCAAAAGAACTAGGAATGCACTCTGGAATCGAAGTTTGGACTCCACAAGAACCTAATCGTTCAACTGCCTCATACAAGAATTGAGGATACCTTATTCTGGACAATGACCATCAAAAAAACAGAAACCAAATTGCAAATGATGCATTGCAAAACATAGTAATTCCAAAGTAATGATTTCTGATTTCAACACCCTAATGAAATTGCTGTTAAATAATGTGTTATGTGACCCAAGATTTTTTACTTCAGAACCCTAATTAATTCATTGCTGTTTTATAATGTGTTATGTGACTAATGATTTCTGACTTCAGTACTTCCATTGGATAATCTTTGATGCCATATATGTAATCCATTACAAATGCTCCTCAAAAACGAGAATGACCAACTCAACACCAGATATATCTGTTGAAAGCTCATCAATATATTCAAAAGTATATTACAAATAAATCTATATATACACATATAAATATAAACAAACCAAAAAAAAAAAAAATTATAAATTACAAAATGGTACCCACTTTCTCTTCTTCCTCCAAGCTTTCTTTTTGCCGCCAGTTGCACCCCTCTTATGCATCGAATCCCGAGATATACCTGCAAAGAAAACAAAGTCATGAGAGAAAGATATGACGCTATTCTTCTAAAATGCACAATTTGATTTCTCATGGCGTAAGGTTCCATACCCATGTTTGCTGATCGGCGAAAAGACGAACTCTTTCCTCTCTTATGCTCTCTCTCTCTCTGCTCTCTCTGTTTTTCTATAAAAGCTCTCTCAAAGAACGATAAAACCTTAGTGGCGGTCGTCGGGTGAAATCGTCCGCTGAACAACATAAAGATATGGGTAAATTAGACTGATATTTGGCTAAATGTTACGCAAGCATTTCAGATTTATTACTTTCATCGCTCTTATGTTTGAGTATATACTCAACATCTTCCTTTCCATCAAACCTTGTAAAAAAGTTTCATAAAATAATCCAGTTGCCCTTACACTTATTTATTTATATACAATATTTTTTCTAAAAAGGGTAACAGTGGTGAAGATGATAGAGAAAGTAATAAGAGATCAGATAGAAATTTCATTTCATTTTTGATTTTATAATATATTTTGTATTATAAAAATATAGAGGGAGCCGGCTCTAGTTGAAGGGAGGCAACTCGCTTACAAAGGGAGCGGTTCCATGATGGAAGGAGGTGGCTTTCTTTGTCCGGGTGTAATTGACTTTTAAAATTATAAATGGGGTCAGAATAATAAATCTCAAATGCTTTCCTTGTGTAAAATTTACCTCAACAAAGTGTAAATGTAAATCACCCTAAAAATATTTATGACATTAGAAAATTTGTGCACTGTGAATTTGTATTTTTAAGACAATATTACCCTCACCACAATCACCACTGCACTTCTGTTTTATAAAATGTGTTTGATCATTCAAGAGGAATATAATAAAGGAAAATGATTATCGAATAATTGGAGTGGAGTGAATTGTTAGACTTACTTTTTTAATTAGTCAATTCTTTAACAAATAATAAAGTAAAGCCCTCTATTTATTTATATTTGTTATAAATAACCAATTAAAAATTATTAAGTTGGACAATTCAGTACAAGTGTTTGGTATGAATATCACTATTCTATAATAAAAGTTATGCATTTGTTGGGGTGGTGAATGTAATTCGGTTTACTTTCAATATAGCAAATCTGTTACCTTTAGTCCATACTATTATTAGTGTAACGCATCACCTAGAAGTATAAAATATTAGTTTACTTTTAAAATTGTGCATAAAACTCTTGTAAAATTAAAAATCTTTCTGAACTAATAAAATTTATTAAATTACTCACAAACTCACCGAACTATTAAATGAGTTGTGAAATGTCAAATTTGACATTATTATTTAATATTAAATTATAATTATAATTATTATTTTTAAATTACAAAAATACGCCAAAATGCTTACAAAAATATTAATTAAAAGCTTTTAAGTCAAATTTGACTTTCAAAGGGTTAAGATAGAGGTATTTTTATAATTTTAAAATACTACTTATCTTATTTCACAACCTAATTAATATGTAGTTACGAATATTATAATAACTTGATAAATTTAGTTAGTTCAGAAAGTTTTTTAATTCTCATGAAAGTTTTATGAATGATTTTAAAAGAAGAGATAATTTTATGATTTTAACCGCATAAGCAATATATACGATTGGGTAAGTATGTTGACTTCTCGATCGGATCGGATGGCTTCTGTTTCGAATATTTGCAGTTTATTTCATGGGACTTCTATTCTGACATTAAGTCAAAAGTTTGCAGAAGATGTTAGTGATTGAGTGAGTGGATTATTGGAGTATTATTTTCCTTCTCCATAAAAACAGAGTATACTCTCTCATTTTCCTCCTCTCTTCTATTTTAAATTACTCCAATTCAAAAACAAATGAAATATTTTGAATGCTACTTAAAAGAGGGTTAAGGTGTCTATCATATATTATTGCTTTTTCTCCAAATTGCAACCATTAAGTATTATCGATGTAGTGTAAAAAAGTCATTGTATGATATGTAATATTCATTTATTTTAAATTTGGTGCAAATACTCTATGTCTACACAAAAAAATTATAATACCCTCTTGCCAGTAAAATTAAATAATATCTAAAAAATAAAGTAAGCTAAAATTACCATTTTAAACAAGGACACATGTCTTTCAATCCTGATTGGTTAGGTGGCCCAATAGATAAAAAAAAATGTGTACAAAAATTTATGTAATATTAAAAAAATAAAAAAAAATGGAGAAGACCCATTGTTAAATGAGTGAAAACTAATATATATAAAAAAAGGGCAGAATATGAAGAGAACTGGATAAATTATTTTGATTAAAAAGTGATCAGAGGGGCTTATTTGTATTTTTTTAAAATTATATGAACTGAAACGCATATTTTAAAAAAATAGTGACTACTTATGTACAAAATTTATATTACAGAAGGTTTTCTACACTTGAGCCCTTATTTACTATTATAAGTGATAAGGAAAAGTTAAGCATTATATATTGATTGTTAATGCCATAAAATCATTTAATTTTGCACTTTAATAATCACCATAGACTATTAATGAATCATTTTATGTTTTTGAGGATTCCCGTGTTTCTGAGAATTTCATTTTCCGTTTTGAGAGATGATAGCATTTCAAAGAAGAAGAACTTGGAGCATTAGTGCCTACAATATCTTGTGTTCCTATTTTATTCCAATCTTAAGATGCCAAGAGTGTTGCAAGATATCATTTATTAATATTTTACATTTGTAATTTAATTTTTATTTTATTTTTAAAAAAAGGCACAAAAAAAAAATTGAAAGAAAAATATTTATGCGAAGCTTTTACTTTATTTTACATTTTAAAAAAAAATTAAAAAGTGCACTACACAAATATTAAAAACGTGGAAAGTTACTATAATGATAAGAATTCATTTTTCATGTAAAAGAGAAAACTAAACTAGCTTCAAGAGGCATGAATTAAAAGTTGTGCATTTACTAGGGGTGGACATTTGTAAGTGCGATGCGTTATTATATTGCATTGCATTCAACAACTTTTTCGACGCTGTACAACATGTGAAATGATGATGTAATATAATTGTTATATAAACCGTACAAAGAGTTTGGACAAATGTTCATGAATTGACACGCTCATCTTATATCCATGAGTAAACACCTGCATTATATGATTAGATTTAACTAAAAAGAATTTAAAAATTTTAGGTGGGTTGCATATTTTAAAATTTTACAAATAACAAATATAAATTTTCATACATAACCAAAATAAAATTTCACAAATATATATACATAACAAATATATGTACACATTTGGCAGATCAGGGCAGAGTCACATGTACACAACCTACATTAGATCTCCGAGAGTGTGCCCCTTTAGCCTAAGCCTGCATTGAGTCCGATGTATATAAGTGATGGGGAGCAATAGGAAATACAATAAAAATTCATGAAACAGCCAAATAGAAACAACTTTTTTTTTTTTTATTGTATATGTGGGAGATCAAATAATTTAAAATTTTTAAACTTAAAAGGAATTCTTAAAATGTTCTTAACAGCGGCGTTGACAGAGATCTAAGAACTACACTCCTAATTTAAAATAATAAAAAATTTGAAAAAAAAAAAAACCCGTGAAATAACCTTTTCTTAGATTATTAAGTTTCAATGCTTTTATTCTGATATTCTAAATTTTACTAAAATAGTATATTTTGATATTAGGATGTGATAATTGTCAATTGAGGTGGTTTATTTTGATAAATTTTGCATTACAATGTAGGATATTTCGTTGTTAGGCACGTAACTCTCTTGCCTTCCTTGCTAACCGGAGGAAATCTAACCGCACTGTTTAAAGTAACGCTTTGGCAAAATAGTCCGTCCGTCTGTTTCTGTCTTCCCCCTCAATTTTAGCAACTAAATGGAAAAATCTCTCTTTCTCTCTCATCTCTGTAATGTCTCAATGAGAGAGAATGAGAAACAACAATAACAATGAACGACGAAGAGGATTTTCCTAGAAAACCATTGTTTTCTCTCTTAACAATCACTGCAATTTTCTCTCTCTTCAACCCCTCCGCGGCGGCCGATGGCGGCGGTGGCGAAGCGGCCGTCATGGCCAAGCTTGCCAAATCCATCTCTCCAACGCCGTCCGGCTGGTCCGGCTCCAACCACTGCAAGTGGACCGGCGTCTCCTGCGACTCATCCGGCCGAGTCTCCAACATCAACCTCTCCTCCAAATATCTCTCCGGCGAATTACCCTCCGATCTCAACCAGCTCTCTCACCTCAAAATCTTATCTCTCCAACGAAACCAGTTCTATGGCCCCTTACCCTCTCTCTCCAACCTCGCATCCCTCGAACAAGTCTTCCTGGACTACAACAACTTCAGCTCTATCCCTCCTTCGTTTCTCTCAGGCTTAACGAGTCTTCAAACATTGAGCATCAGTATGAACCATAATCTTCCTCCATGGACCATCCCCGAAACCCTAGCCGATTCCACCACGTTGAATTTCTTCGACGCGATGGATTCCAATATCGTCGGTCCAATGCCGGAGATATTCGGATCGTTCCCGAATCTGCAAACGGTTAGGCTTGCATACAACAATCTTACAGGGTCTTTGCCGCAATCATTTTCCAAAACAGGGATTGAGAATTTATGGATTAACAATCAATTGATAGGTCTTTCGGGTAGGATTGATGTGCTCGGCGGAATGTCGCAATTGACTCAGGCTTGGGTTCATGTCAACAAGTTCTCAGGTCCAATTCCTGATCTTTCCAAGTGTACTTCGCTTTCGAATCTTCAGCTTCGAGATAATGAACTAACGGGTGTGATTCATCCTTCTCTGTTTTCGCTTCCCAAGCTTGCTAATGTCTCATTGCAGAACAATAGGTTGCAAGGTCCATACCCTGATTTTCCCAAAGGTGTTCAGGTGACACTTGGGATGACCAACAATTTCTGCAACACGAAGCCGGGACCCTGTGACCCTCAGGTGACGGCATTGCTTGCAGTGGCAGAGGCTCTGGGTTATCCAATGACATTGGCTGAATCATGGCAGGGGAATGACCCTTGCCAAGGATGGAATGGGATTTCGTGTGATCCGAAGGGAAGCGTGACAGTGATCAATTTCGGGAAGAAACAATGGATTGGGACTATATCACCCGCCATTGCTAACCTAACTGCATTGAAGAGTGTGTTTTTGAATGACAATAAACTCACCGGTCCAATACCGGCTGTCTTGACCAGTTTGGCACAGCTGCAGCTTCTTGATGTATCAAACAACAATCTTTCTGGGAAAATACCACCATTTACTTCAAGTGTGATGTTGAAATCATCTGGTAATCCATTTATTGGAAAAGATTTGCCCACAGGAGGAGGAACAGCAGGAGGTGGTTCTTCTGCTGGTGGTGGTGGTGGCGGCTCACCGTCAGGTGAGACAAGTGGAAATGGTAAGTCCTCTACTTTGCGGTGGGTGATTGTTATTGTTGGCATTGCTGCTGCGATATTTGTGGTAGTTCTGTCCTTCGTAATTTATAAACGTTTTGCGAAAAAGCCAAGATGGAAATATAAGTGGGTTAGAAGTTCTAGCGCGGGGAAAGAAAATGTGAATAAGAAGGACTATGGTGCGATTGGAAGTGAACTACCCAGTAAAAGCAGTTCAGATAAAAATGTCTATGATGGTGGGGGTGTTGTTATCTCAATTGAGAAACTTCGAGAAGTAACAGACAATTTCAGTGAACAAAACATTTTGGGTCAAGGAGGGTTTGGTGTTGTTTATAGAGGAACACTCCTTGATGGTACACAAATAGCTGTAAAGAGGATGGAATCCGTAATGGCGGCGGGTTCAAAGGGGCTGAATGAGTTCCAGGCTGAAATTGAAGTCCTCTCGAAGGTTAGGCATAGGCATTTAGTTGCACTTCATGGTTTTTGTGTCAATGGAAATGAGAGGCTTTTGGTGTATGAGTATATGCCTCAGGGGACATTGGGGCAGCATCTCTTTAAATACAATGAAATGGGGTTTCCCCCACTTACTTGGAAGCAGAGAGTAACCATAGCACTAGATGTCGCTAGAGGGGTTGAATACTTGCACAGCTTAGCACAACAAAGTTTCATACACCGAGATTTGAAACCCTCTAACATACTTCTTGGAGACGACATGAGAGCTAAGGTTTCTGATTTTGGTTTGGTTAAGAATGCGCCTGATGGGAATTATTCAGTTGAGACAAGGTTGGCTGGAACATTTGGATATCTTGCACCAGAATATGCTTGTAAGTACTTCTTTGTATATATAAAATATATCACCTCTAATTACTTGGTGCATTCCCTACTATGATACACTTTAAACTCCTTTCTAACAAATTAATTATTAATTTATGTGGAGCAGACAATTCTTTATGTACTTCCAAAGGTTTATCTTTTTGCTCATTCTTCAACCTAGACAGGCTTTAAGATTTTCTTGGCTATTATTTTGATGGTTCAAATATTTTTATGCTGACGATTACTAGAACACACAGCATTTATTTTATAGCATCTGATGGGCCATGAAATTTAGCAAAATTTAGAGTTACTTTTTGTGTTAATTAATCAGTCAAGAATTTATTTTAATGTTGAGCCATTATTTTTGTTTCCTAAAAGCTACTGGACGAGTGACCACAAAGGTTGATGTCTTTGCATTTGGGGTGGTCTTGATGGAGATGATCACAGGTAGAAAAGCACTAGATGAGACATTACCAGAGGAGACAAGTCATTTGGTTGCTTGGTTCAGAAGGGCAGGCATTAACAGAGGGAGCATCAGAGAGCATCTCGACCCCTCCCTAATCCCAGATGAAGAGACCTTTGAGAGCATCTGCAAAGTAGCAGAACTAGCAGGGTACTGCACTGCTCTTGAGGCATTTCAGAGGCCAGATATGAGCCATGCGGTTAACGTGTTGTCTCCCCTCGTTGAGCAATGGAAACCCGCCTCCTATGACGAAGACGATGGCTTTGGCACTGACCTCCATATGAGCCTCCCTCAAGTCTTGCAGAGATGGCAAGCTAGTGATGGTAGTTCCATGACCACCAGTAATCTGTTTACTAACACAGCTACGAACACACTACAGCACCCTTCAGGTTTCACAAACTCAATCGGTTTAAAGGATCGAAGATGACTAGAAAGACAGATTTAAATGCTGATTGTGAGAGGAGACAGATTTCTTCAATGGCTGTGGAGCAACACTTAGTATAGCCTTTGTTCAGATTCAACATTAAAAGCTTTTGTGCTTAAAAGTATTGCTAGAATCGAACATAAGCAGCCCTCTGTTTCCTCAAAACATTGTTGTTATATATACTTGTAACAGATGAGAAAGCAGAGTGGTGTTGTGATTATGTTATATGGGAAGAACTTGGGTTGTGAAAGAGTGAAAGCAGAGAGTAAAAACAATTTATATACATAAAAAACAGTTATACTAACATTTATACTGTTACATGAAATTGTAAATGGGGATTTGATGCACCTTCTGTTCATTAATGAACTTGAGATTGTTTATTGCTATTAATTATCAAAAAAGAAAAAATAAGTAATATAAAGATTTAACGATTTATATCTGGAATAAAAAACTATAGTTGACATCAAGCAACATCCCATTTCAGTGCTCCACGGTCAGCTTTCTGTAGAGGCTCTTTCACCGAGTACGATCATTTGTTTGTGTTTGGCGAGTTTTAGGGCGCAATTGACAATTGCTTTTGCTTTGTGTTTTTACTTTGACCTAAAGTAAAAGTAATATTTATGCTTTAGACTGTGTTTAATACTATTTCGAATTTGGTAACGTAATTTTTTTTAGAAAATAAAGTAACTGAATATATATATATATATATATGAAAAGAATAATTACAAGCACGCCTTAGGCCAAAGACCAGCCCCATTGAAGGGGAAAACAAAGCCCAAATAGGCAAGCCCAATCCAGAGTGCTGAGTAGCCTAACCTAGAGCCCAGACAGCTACAAGAAACAAATATTAACGGATCAAACTGTTAAGAGGACTACAAGATTTTTGAAAGTAAAAACATAAAAGCATATTTGGTAAAAAATATTTTAAGTTTGAAAAATTAAATGGCTAGTTAAAAATATCATTTTAGATATATATTTGTTTTAACAATGTTTTTGCTATAGTGCATAAGCAATCGAAAATATCATTTTTATGTTTTCGATTTTTGCTTGGAAGCGCTTCGATACTATTCATATGACAACAAACATTACTAAACATATTTCGTGCTTTTGTTTCACTACGGTATACTAGCAAAAACAAAAAACACGAAGCAAAAGTATTAATCGAATAGCCCTTTAGAAAAACATATAAACTGACAATTAATGAATTGTAATTTTTCTGTCATGCTCATCTAAAGTTGTAGAACATGACATACATCTCAAATTTGAATTTAGAAGTTCGGTCCTCATCAACATACTTATCGCATCATCATCATCATTCTTGTCTTTATCTCTTATAAACAAGTTAGAAAATAAATTCCCTTTCTTCACTATTTTCTATTATATATTATCTTTTACTATATTTAATTTTTTGAAACAGAATCTTATGGTGCAATAAACAGTTTGCATCCCTAGATTTCTCTTGTATATATCCCACTTTCTTCTTAGACCACCCTTTTTTCAATTAACCTTTGGTTTCTTGATCTGATACGTACCCTTGGATTGTGTTTGGAAATATTTAAAACCACCCAAAATGAACGGTAATAATCTTTCAAATATATAGATAGTCCCTTTAATTTCTTCCACATGATATGATCACATCACATGCTTTCACTGTAAATCTAAAAATTTGAAGATATGAAAATTTTTCTTCCCCTATTTGGGGCAATGTTGTTGTGAGTGTGCATTTGCTTGAACTTTTGAAAAGAAAAAAAAAAAAAAATTCATAGAAGGATCAAGATCCATCTTATTCAAGGTATGAAGTGTATTAACAACTAGTTAAACTTCATAATAACTTTCAGTTACAACACAAAGAAGAAAATATAGTGCAACAATTCCGCTATGCAGCTTTTACAACGAAAAAATAATGAGGAATGCTTCAAGAACAGACCTTAATTTATAGATCTTGATTACACAAAGCAAGCTATTGGCAAGACCCTTGCTAAAGTATATTAATCCCTATCACTAGCTAGGTATATTAATACAGTGCTATATATATTCACCAAGAATTAAGGCGATCATTTTTCTCCAACCAAAAGACACTGTCTGTGTTTGTCAATTCCATCATTTTTCCGAGTATATAATTATGCTCCTCCTCCATTATGTACGGCAGCGCAAAAAATTATGGCAACCACGACGGTAAGGGTTGGCTTGTCTAGGAAGGCTCTTACTCTTAGGATCAATGTGTTTAGGGAGGCAACCTGGAGTCCCTTGGATCTGGCATTGATCAATGTTTAGATAGGGTGCTGGGGTACTCGTGACGCCAATGTTTAGCACCGCCATGCTGATGAGAAGCATACATAAGAACGAAGACTTCATGCTGCAAAGTCCCACGAATGCTTCTTCCATTCTCTCTCAGAATTAATCCTTCTTCTGGTTGTGCCAGTACCTAATATATGTTGAACATGTTTATATAGGCCACCAAAATTAATGGGGACCATAACTTCAAATGGAAGAAGTTGATAAGCTTTTTAACTGGTTTTGCTTGGAAAATTAATTAGTTACAGTATGAATGAAGAAGTGGTTGACAGAAACCAGCAAAAATGACTAGTCCATCAGGTGTAAGACTAAAAGAAATAAAGTTGAATACAAAATTCCTCAAAATCAACTCTCTGATACAAACAGTAAAAAAAACTTAAATTAGGCTTCAAATTGGGGTTCATGGTTAAAATAAAATTTGACGACCTTGGAAACTTGGAAAATTAGTTATCTTAGAAATAAATGAATGGTTGATAGAAGAATCGGTCAAGAAAAACTTTACTTGTCCCTCATGATAGGGACGCATATGCAGATACATGAATTGTACAACTTTTTTTGTTCACTACTATATATAAGCAGAAATATAATTTAAAACCGTACCTTCTCTGTTAAAGACCCTAGCGCTATCAATCATCTAATGGCTCGACACAAACGTTGAGGTCAGTGAAGCCACTTACAGCACTATAACCGAAAAATTTAGTCCAAAAATAGTACTCCGTATAAAGTAATCAAACTCAAACCACTTCAAAAGACAAACCTGCTTGAGTTGTCAAGTTAGTCCAAAATATTGAGGCACACGCAAACAAGCAAAAGGAGCCTAGTTAAATCTGAATATCAAACTTCAGACTTCAATGCCAAAAGTATCTTCTTTCTTGGACCCTGAAAGAGTCAAAGTGATCATAAAATGAGCAAAAGACTACACAGGAGAGAAACACTGCATATAATTAGGGGTGCAACTTGGGCGGGCTAGTCCAGCCCATAAATTTTAAAATCTGAACATATAAATTCACAATTCGGGTTTAAGTGGTTTGGGCTGGGTTCAATCCGAACCCAACCCGAGAACCCAAATTAAACATTTCATAAAAAATAAAAAAAATTCCACGATAAACGCATATCACAAACCCTAACTTTCTCTCTCCTCATCCTTCGCTAACACTCTCTCCCATCATCCTTCTCTTCTCTTCTCTTCTCTTCGCTAACTCTCTCTCTCATCATCCTCTCTCTTCTTTCTGTTTCTCTCTCTGCGGCCATTCATGGGCGAAGCTTGAGAGTTGAGAGGGGGCGAAGCTTGAGAGTTGAGAGGGGCTTAATTTTTTTCTCCTTTCTTTCTTTCTCTCTCTTCTTTTTCTTTCTCTTTCTCTCTCTGCCGCCATCCATGGGTGAAGCTTGAGAGTTGAGAGACAGCGGCTGAAGCTTGCGAACGGCGAACCCGAACTGGAACAGCGGGCGATGGAAACTGAAAAATATGGGTTTTGATTTTTTGAACAATCTGAAATGATATGCCGATTTGGGTTTTGATATAGGTAATAGGTTTTGAACTTTTGATTATTGCAACAGATAGAAAAACTGAAATATATAGGTTTTGAAATTCTGATTCTTGTAGATTTAGTACTTTGCAGTTGCAGAGAGAGAGAGAGAGAGAGAGAGAGAGAGAGAGAAGGCAAGTTCAGAGTTGAGAACGTGAAGAGAGATGGAGGCGGCGATTGGTAAGGCTGAAACGATTTGCCCTATATATATATATATATATATATATATATATATATATAATAAAAAATATATAATATACATATATATATAATATATAATATATATATAAATTTCCCAAAAAAAAAATAATTAAAAAAAATCTCAACCCGACCCAACCTGCCCGAAAAAATTCAGTTCGGGTTATGACTACAACCCATATTGAGTGTAATTCGGGTTGGCCCAACCCAACCCGATTCGGGTTGAGGTTGGGTTGGGGCTGGGCTGGGTTGGGCCAACCCAACTTGCAGCCCTACATATAATGGCCGAGTTTAATTGATTTACCAGTGGTAATCCTATAGACTTGAGATCCTCATCATTCATGTCTACGAGAATGGCCATATCAATCTGCAAAAAAAATGATGAAGCATCAATTTAAGGTAATGGTTAGAAACAAAACCAGTTCATAAAATTGTAGTAGAGAAAGGAAAGTTATAAAAGTCACACACTTCCTCATCTTTGAATGTAGTTGAATATTTTTCAAGACCCAGTCGTTGTAGGAAACCATCCACCAATTCATCCTGCACCAAAAATGTATCACTTTTAAGTATGACCAATCACCATTATTTATATTTAGTTAATTTAAAAAAATCTTCAAACTAAGATGATGAAAATGGGGAAAAAAACGGACTCTGCAGCAATTCATGGAGGATAAATTTATTGGCATCCTGCCAAGTTCAATCCGTCAAGGTAAACAACAAAAGGATGCCAAGTTCAAGCCTTCAAGGTGAACAACCGACATAAGTTTAGATAATTGGTATGAAAAGTGCTGATAAATTGACTATTCACAGTAAGACATAAGTTTCATGGGAAAGAAAAGAGTGATCGAGATTACCTATATGATCAACGAACAATAACTATACAAAATAAGTAATCTCTTAAAAACTTTTACTTACTCTTTGAAAGCATAGAAAAACAATAAAAGAAATTAAATATGAATTGCACAAAAAGTACAAAAGGTCGTAGAATAGTGCTATTTCCTCAACCTCCCAAAACATGAGGTGAGGGTGTCCAAGTCCTGCATGTGCAAATGAATGTTTGAGAGTGTTGCGAAGGATTAAATTGCACCAAAAGTGAATGAAAATTACCAAATCCGTTAAATTAAGTGGCATTTCTTGCCACCCCCTAAAGGGAGGTGCAGCTCCCAATTCAAATTCAGACAGTTATGCCTATCTTAGCCATCATCTT